ATGACATAATAATAATAATATTTGGTAATATAACCGGATAATATTTACGATTCTTTAGTTCGCAACAGTGGTACATTGAAAAACAAATCAAATACGAAGTAAAAAAAGAAATAAGAAATGCTTTTAAAGAAATCTTTAACAAAATTTATATAATATTATAAGTCATCGTATCCCCAAATTATAGAAATACAATAAAAGTAATGTGTATACGTAACGGTTAGAGTATTTTTATCTGATTCCGACACATGGTGTATCATTTGAAAACGGGATGCTAGTTAAGACCGGAAGGGGACATGTAGAGGTAATTTGACGCTCGACGTTTCCTACATCAATAGAGATCACTTACAATACAGTTTGAAACACACACACACACACACTCAAACACACACACACACATATTCAGATCGAAATACTCTCAAAAAAATAATAATAATGCAATGATAATATTTATATTTTAATTTTACACAAGTAGGTAACAATGTATACAGGTAAAAAGTTTAATTTTTTAACTCTACGAAGTACAGAAACTTAATTCGTTTTAAAGTATTTATAATCATTATTAGGTAATCGTAATATTATGAAAAATATAAAACAAAAAAGAGCGAATTATTCATATAATAATTTACGTACAAAATACAAAACTAAGTATGTTTAAACATTTTATACTGTACTAACGTAAAACGTATGGAAAATTCACGTCTGATTAAAATTTCATGATATTAAATTCGTCACGCGATTGTTGTAACAGTTTAAATTAACTTATTCGTTTCATGAGTTACGGTACGAAGCTAAACCGATAGGCAACAAGTTTTACAATTTCACCACGAATAGGTGCAGACGGTTTTAATTTGACTAAATTATCCACAGCTGTAGATTTTTTGCGGCAAAATATTTTTATTCAAGCAACACAAAAAAAATTGCTTTAAAGTGTAAAACGCTAGATCAAATAAATATAGCAATCTATATCAAAGTTAGCGATAACGCCCTCTTGTAGACGATGCAGTGGGAAAGGGAGGGGGGTAAGAGACCCAGAAAAAAAGAGGGGCGTTGTATAGAAGCTTAGGGGGTAATTTGTATTTTCAGTTAGCTAGTACAAGTTCAAGAGGCTTTTAGTAGATGAAAAAATTTGGGCGCTAAAAATATTTTAATATCAAACTAGACAGTAGACAAAATAAGTTTGGAATCTCCTGGTTTATATAATTCATTCTAATTGCTATATTAATGATTTATAATTATATAATTCCTACACCGATTCAATGGTTTGTCAATTAAAATTTCTTAGATGATACTTTGCGAATAAAAACTTCTTAGCTGACTATACAAACCCGTATCAGTAATCAGCTGTGCTGTACTTAAATGCCATGTTAGCTATTTATGGTCGAATTAGAAAGTTCTGCTAATGAGGTGAAAGTCGATAGGTTTTGCCATAACGTGGGAAAGGTCGTCTCCAAACAAGGACGGAAACCTTACACGCTAGTTGGTAAACCACTTATATATTTTAATCTTCGAGTTGTTAAATAGAACAATATTAATAATATTTAAAGAGTACATAGTTGCAAGATTTTAACATTGCTTTCAGTAAAGTTTCCTAAGATACATACATTTAACACAACCAACTGATAACCCTTACGAAATTCGAGATTCTAGGAACAGATTTGTAAATCTAACATAAATTTGTGAGTGTTTTCCTTAAAAATAAATTTACCTCTTGATTATGTAGAGCCGAGTAAATAAACAGAACTCTCATACAAATTATATCAATTAAAAGTATAAGAAAATAACTAAGAATTTCTCAAAGTAAAATCTCTTACAAGCATATTTATTTATAAAATCTGTGTTAACTTTGACGATACAAAACACTTAGAAAGATGGTTCCATAAAAATTTATGAGTTCAACATCCTCGATATTTGTCTAAATCTCTATAGAAGATAACAATTCATTATCAACTCAAAAATTCGTAAACAAACTAAATTGCAATCAGTTGCTTTATTAATATGTATTTAGTACGTTGTTAATAGAGTCAGTGGTAGCCTAGTGGTTAAAATGCCTTCCTTTCGTGCATGAGGGCGCGGGTTCGGTCCTGGCAAGTAGCAAGAGGGTTGATGTCAGGCAGGCGGCCGGTGGTAAAAACAAATATCCAAAACTATTCACAACATGTAAGGCAGACCCTGGCTAAAAGGTGGGAAATTGCTTGGCAGTAGTACGTTGTTAATACTTCATCATAATTTATATAGACAATAGTTCCTAGTGTTTACAAGTTACGACTTCACAAACCATGTATGCACGTGTTAGTTATATAATATACATAGCTATCAACATAATTACTTAACGTCATCACTACAAGGTCAAAGGAATCGTATAAGTACAATTAGAACCACTAGGATATGCGTTAAGGCTGATTCATGCGCTTGCGCAGAACATTTAAGACTATAAGCGGTTACTAAGACATACGTCCAGTATGAACAGATTTCTCTCTATAGAAATTATATATATTGTTGCATAATGATTAAACAAGCATACGAACATCATATTCTAAACCCACTCTTTACTATAATTGTATTATCCTTCCCACACAATAAATATTCATACAAATATAGAATTAATGAGAAACGTTTTAGAGACGAGTAAGGGTATTCTTTTTATATTTATACACTACCTTTCCGCTTCACCGGCGTGGAGGAGTTCGGTTATATCGAGTTTCCAAGAGAACCTTTCAAAAGTCTGGGATAAAAACTATCCTATGTTCTTTCTCAAGGTCAACTCTATCTCTGTACCAAATTTCATTAAAATCAGTTCAGTGGTTTAGGCGTGAAAGCGTAACAGATAGACAGACAGAGTTACTTTCGCATTTATAATATTAGCAGGGATAATCCTTTCTCTGGAATTAAACGAGCTATTTCCAGTAACTTTGATTCATACGAGTTTAAACAACGGGTAAGGAGGATATCAGAATTGAACATAAATTCATTGAATGTGAAAATGTACAGGGAACATATATAAATAATGATGTAGGCGGAAACGAGCAATCTCATGCCCACACTCCGACTCCATAATATTTTGATATAAATTACACCAAACTAGATGGCTTTACTGTTTCAATGCTATTAATCATTATTCACTAATACTTTACCGGAACTAGGTGGGACTTAGTTGAAGATTATCACCAAAACTTTCCCAAATTTTGCTATGAGTAACATTGTTTAATATACAATAAGTATACTAATCAAAAAGTAAAAGGAATTGTTCAAACCAAAACCAAAATGACTGATACAGACGCGTTATTCATGAACGCAGAAATAATCGCGTTTCAATCTCGTTTATTTTCGTGAACAAAGGAGTTAAACAAAGCAGCTCAGCAAGGTCATTGAACTTTATAAAACTTCATTATATAATAAATAACTCACCTGTTTATTAAATCGCGAACAAAGCACAAACAAACTAAATAAGGGCAAAGCAACAAATGTATTGGAACGATAAGTTATCGACATCGCTTACACCGCGTCAGTACTATCTAATGTACGATAACAGTCACCACTATATCCTGACACCTACACTGGACATTTAGAAAAAACACTTAAAAACATACTGATTCTTAATAAAATTTTCCATAGATATTGCTATTATAAATATCATCAAACTAAATGTAAAAAATAATATGATTTCTGAAGTTAAAAGCCGAATTCGTAATATATACTCTTAAAATCATTTGCAATATTTTGCTTCAAACCCTTATCTGATTCCGACAATTATTTTCAACACCAGTCTAAATCCTTATCAGGTTGATTGTTGTGAGCCATTGTTATTGTATTTCATAGTTATTGTGAATATATTAAATTAAGAGCAACAATTGTACATGAAAAAGAAAAGATTTAAATCTCACATTAAACATCATTATGTCAAAAACTAGACTTTCTTTATAATAATTATTATAACATTTGAAACAATTTTCAAACAAAATTTTGTTCTCAATTCTGCACTGAAAAATTTATATCCTGTATTTTACTTTCAATAGTAATAGCACAGTAGATTCTTTTTCATTTTTAACTATCATCCTGTGGGATGAAAGGTAAAACCCTGTCTAGTGTATTAAAAAATGTATTCATACATATAGACATATATTTTGTATAATTTCTAAAATTTTTTTATCAACAATTTTAGAAATGTTATAGGTACCAGGAGTTTAGTTAAGGTACCTTTTAAGGGATGGCCAACCAGTTGGTTAATTTACATCGGCCTTAAAAACATAAGAAAATTTCAGACAAGAAACCTACTAACTAAATATAATTTATACATCATTGCTTCGGACTATTTGAATTTAGAACATAGAATCAAAAGTATTATATTTTTTTTAATGCAATGGCTTCATTCACACTGGAATCATTAAATATTATGCCAATGTCAACATTTTTATTTGTTAGCTAATTATAATGTAATCGCAATATTTAATAATTATTAAGTGATGTATTGCAGTAAATATTGTTTATTATCACTGTACAACTAAACAGAATTAATTCTGTCTACTTTCTACTCTTACATAATACATGTGATCAGACATAAGAACTTATGTGATTAATGTTTACATAATATAATTTGCGATAGTGTGTGTACAGCTGAGAAACTATTTGTAAATGAACTGTGTTTTACATATGACAGCAAAATAATTGTTTATGTTTAACAATTAACTGTTTTATTAGATAAAGTTATATAATATTCTTTCAATTTATATCTCCTAATATAATGGTTTTGGTATATACTTTGAGTTTTAATTTTAATATTGATAGCATTCTGATATTTGTTTATTATTATTTTTTTTTTGTTAAACTTAAACACAGTCTTCAGCCTTAAATCCTCTCCACCGCTCTTTGATTTCAAGGTATCTTTATGTTTGCATATATATTTTATTTAGTTTAGGTCACCAAAAGATAAATATTCTTATGAACCGGTTGATGACAGTCGGTAGAAAGAGCGAAAAGCTGAGATTTATAGAACATCGATTTACCTGAAACTTCTCGAATTGCTCGCGCTCAGCATCCAAGCTGTTCTTTCTTAATTGAAGTACGCGAGGCAGCGATAGTGACGCCATAGGATTTACTCATTCAAAGGACACCCTAAATAATTCGTATTAAATAATACAGGTAGAAAACACTAAACACCGATAAGTTTTGGTTGAACTATAATTACGAATACGTGACACTTAACAAATACACGAAACTTTTTATCTATAAATAATAACAGAATTTAAAACTTTCGAAAATTTATGACATATGCTAATAAGGCACATAACACATCAAACTACAACGAAATACAGAAACACACTGATAGGTTACAGCAGACTGAGTACTGAATGTTATTGCAAACACAAAACGCACACAAGCAAAAGACAGATAACCGAATGAGTTCACTAGATACACCGCTTCTTACACATATAAGCTGTCAGTTTATTTGTCAATAAGTAGGTATTTTAAGTTCAAAATTAATATTATTTAATTAAATATTATAAATTATTTATCATAAAGAAAATAAATGATCTAAAACGGCCATGTCAAATTATTCGCAAAATTATTTAAGTTGGGTTGAGTAGTCTAGAGGGTTATTTCGCCGCGTCCTCTTCTCTCTTTTTGTAGAAGTAAGCTATGAGCAGTTCCAGAATAGAACATAATGTTTTCATCATACCATTAAAAACATTATCAATGAAACAATCATCTTGATATCATGAATGCAAATATTTTTGTTCATAGGGATATCTGCTAGGCACTTCAGAACAGTTTCTTGAAGCCAGTTAATGTCGGTTTTTATGGATGGAAATAACAATTCAAACTTTCTACCAGATCTCTAAAACAATTATATATATTCATCAATGCCGATGTCTATTAAGCATCTGAAACTATAAAAAAACGTGTTGTAGCGAACCGGCTCATAGCAATAACCTTATTCCTGTTTTTATTAATAATTTTTTGCTTGTCAATTGCCCTCATGATTTTGCTTGAATGATACTACATTGTTAATTTATAATTATTAATCAAAATAGATTTATTCTAATCCCAAACCATTTTTACCAATTATGAAAACAATATGAATATTATTTATTTATTTTCCATCTCCTACAAAATATTTTAACTATTAGAAATTGGATCTGTAGAACTTCTTTCATTTTAACCTTATTCCGCAACCTACTGAAATGCGACTTGTAATAGATGGAAATATAATTTCAGGTGATGTTGTAAAACTTCAACTTTAACAAGTATTTTGTATAAAACTATCTACATATTCTATTTACTTATGTTTTGAATTTTTTATAAATAATTTATTTTATTTAAATATCTTTTGTTACAGCAACACGTTTCAATAATAGTTTACTTTTGCGAATTCGAGAGCGATAGCGAATCTTTACTTCCTTTTTTAAATTAACTAATAAAAGATATGATCTATTAAAATCGGAATATATTTGGACTATTTAGAATCGGATAACAAAAAGTAGGTACATCTCTACGATCACTGAATGATATTCATTAATCTGTGAGTATTCTGTGGAAAATCACATCTGAATAAAATTGACATTGACATAACATTATTTTGCGCGTTCCGGTAAAGTTTTTAATTATAACTGGTAAGAAATCGCGTGGAATTCTTTGAATATAAGGAAAGGTAACTTATTGGGAGGAGAATAGTTACAGCAATGGAATTTTTAGAGTACAACGATGTTTCTGCGGAGATTAAAGGAGCTATGGTAAGCGACATACAAAACAAAATTTGTTTTTAAAACAACCAACATTGCTTGCTTTGTTTAAAATTCTTTCTATGTTATAACGAAAATGAAAACGAAAATATTTTAAGCGGTTATAATTTCTTCTGCTTTTTGCTGACTATTATGATTCTCCTACATTATATAGTCCACTACAGAAAAACAACGTGTTTTACCCAATTGATTCTTGTTTATTAAACTAAAAAAGTTTTTATCAATACATTGGCTGACTCAATGTTAATAAAACTTATTGTACGCTACTTTTGTTGAAAATTATACATACAAAATAATTAAAATAATAATGATAAATAATTATGAGGAGAAAATAAAATGTTGTGAAATCTTGTATGTAATTAACTATCAAAACTGATGATTAAATAAGGTACTGTTGTCAAAAGTGCTACATGCAAGAAACAGACTTACGACTACGCAAGCAGTTTAAGAAATACTCTTTACTTTTTTCATCTTAACTACATATTAAACCATTATTACAAACTTATTACCACTATAAATTTTGAAAGTGACGGCAAAACATTCTCAGTTATTTTAACATCAATCAATCATTTTGAAACTAGCCATATGTTACCTTATAAATATCTTTATCTTGTAAAACAACATAACGTATAAGAATCTCAGGTTACAATAACTTTTATATTTCTAATAATTTCAGGTTCCCGGCAGATTAAAAATGACAGATCAGAGTATAGTGTTCAAAAACAGCAAAACCGGCAAAGTGGAACAGATATCGTCAAATGATATAGAACTCGTTAACTTCCAAAAGTTCATAGGATCCTGGGGTCTCCGAATATTCTTAAAAAATGGCACACTACACAGATACGGTGGATTTAAGGAAGGAGTAAGATTCATCAATATATATTATATCAAAATTAGAATTCATATTTTTTAACTATAACTTGAGGAAAACATCAGCGGTATTACTAAAATAAAGAAAAAAATATGATAGCAATATTATCTATTAGTTGTGAACTATTACTTAGTTATCATATATGGTAAAGAGAATTATTAATTACTATCAATTATTTACTCTTCAAGTACTTATATACTTGTATCAACATAAGTTACAAGTATATATCAAGACATTATTTTAGTTCTAAGAAAATATGTTCTTTATGTAAAAAGTATGTTTTATTTGTTTGAGAGTGAGTTGTAAAAAGTTTAGCCTATTGAAACTTGTCAATTATTATATCCTTTAAGAAAAATTGCTTTCTTTTTGATGGTTAGACATATTTATTAATAAGAAGTTAAAAATTAATTAAAAGACACTGTACTGTATTAAGACTCAAAGATAATAAAAGAGTGAGATGTTCAAGATCTTTTAAGTGTGATAATTGACCTTGTTTTTATAAACTTTGAATGCAGTGTTTGAATAGTAATAAAGGAATGTGAGATAAAAATACACATTATTAAAAAAGTGATTTATCCAGATATGACTTTAGCTTGCATTTAAGAAAAAAAACTAAATTCAAATCACATACAAATATCCTTGAGACTGATTTTAAGAGACATCAATTTTGTAATTAAAAACAAAAAGGATATATAACAAAATATTTTTAAAAATATTATCTATACAAAGGCTGAATAACATTTTTTAAATAACCAATAGACTTTACTCATAGAATATAGCTTGTGTATTATGTTTGATGAACTTTAAGTTTAACTGAAATATTTCAGTCATATTTAAGTTTAACTAAAATATTTTTATCATTAAGTATAAAAGAACAATATGTCTTTTATATAAATATTTATTACATATGTAAAACTAGAGTATATAATTATTTATTTATTCTATAATTTATTACAGGAACAAGAGAAAGTTGCCAAATTCTTTAAAAGCAACTATCACAAGGATATGTTAGAAAAGGAATTATCACTCAAGGGTTGGAACTGGGGTACAGCTAAGTTCAACGGAGCAGTCTTGAGTTTTAATGTAGGCTCAAACACTGCCTTTGAAATACCCTTACACAATGTGTCACAATGTAACACGGGCAAGAATGAGGTTACACTTGAATTTCATCAGGTAATTATCACTATATATAACCAGTATTTCCATATACAACTGTTCAAACTCCTTAAAATGTTTAAGAATTCAAATATTTTTTTAATATCTGCTATAATTAGTACTTTTTGAATTATAATAACTTTCATCTGTTCCAATGAGATAATTTGTGCTATAAATTAATAGAAACTATGAATAACAAAGTCTAGGGCGTTCGAAAATTTTAGATATTGGATTTCATTTAATCGTCATCGGGTTTTCAACTATAGTAAGAAAAAATAAAAATAAAAAATTGTGTTATATTTTTATCCAAGTATGCCACTTAATATTAAGTATGTATCTTAGGTTTTAAATTTACTCAAAATGTAACAAATTTGGCAGTCATTTTACCTAAATACATTGAGAATGTGGCTAAGGATTAGTTCCTATAAGTATAAAGTATAAACATCTAATGACACCATAGATTTAATAAATGGCTCTGAAATTTTATATTTTTTTATACAATGTAAATTTTTGTGAATATCATACAACTTTTTTTTAATTAGACACACTTTTCTATGCTATAAACTATTTTATTGAAATAATGGTTAATTCCGTTTTATATCTATTGCAAGTTACATATAAATTTGTTTTGCATATTATGTAATTATTTTGTAATTAGTTGTGAAGATTGAAATCGAAACTTAAAATTCATATGCCAGTTTTCTTTTATTGTAGCAAGAGATTTTTTGTTCTTACCTTGCTACTTAAAAATGTCGTAATTTCTTTATTCTAACTTTTTAAATTTATTATAAATTTAAAAACATATTAATTAATTAAAATAAAAATTAATAAAAATAATTTGTCAAATAAATGAAGTGTCATATATAAACTATTTGTAACAACTAATACATTTCAGAACGATGACACTCCAGTATCATTAATGGAGATGCGTTTCCACATACCCACGAGTGAGCTGGCGGGCGATATGGACGCAGTAGACGCCTTCCATCAGCAGGTCATGAACAAGGCCAGCGTTATATCCGTTTCCGGCGACGCCATTGCTATATTCAGGGAACTACAGTGTCTCACGCCTCGGTAAGATGTTATACTACATGACTTACTATTATAAGTTTTACAAAAGAATGTCGTGTTAGTTACACTATTTATAACTCAAAAACGGCTGTACGGATTTGGGCGTAAATTTGTCGGGAAGTAGGTTGGAATCTGGAGATGGACATAGGATAATTTTGAAATTGTTCAACCAAAAAAAATATTTGCTAGTAAAATCTAAAATCTGCTTATTTATTTATTTATAGTCCACCACTGACTTTTCTATTTCTAATTATGAAACTAACGCGGACAATTCGTAAAGCGAAAGCAACTATATAATAAATGCCAGATATTTATTCATCATGTAATATATTTGATATAATGAACTATTAAGTAACCAAAGAGAATATTATTAATAATAAATTAATTGTTCCAGTGGTCGCTATGACATCAAAGTGTTTCAAACGTTCTTCCAACTCCACGGTAAGACGTTTGATTACAAAATACCAATGTCGACTGTACTACGTCTCTTCTTACTGCCTCATAAGGACACGAGGCAGATGTTCTTCGTGGTGTCCCTCGACCCACCTATCAAACAAGGACAAACTAGATACCACTATCTGGTGTTACTCTTCGGTATAGAGGAAGAAACCAGCCTGGAACTGCCATTCACTGAGTGAGTTTTTTTTTGCATCCAATAAAACCTCTTTTCAATTTTTTTTTGACAATTCTTAATTTGAATTTCCGTTCCCAATAGGGAGGATCTGAAGGAGAAATACGAAGGGAAGATCACTAAGGAGTTGTCGGGACCGACTTATGAAGTGCTGGCAAAAATTATGAAAGTAATTATTAATAGACGAGTCACAGGTCCCGGAGATTTCTTGGGGTGAGCAATAGAAATGTAATTTTAACCAAAAAAATAAATTCCGATTAAACCATTTTGTCACTTAAATGTAAAACAAGAATATTTCTCTTAAAAACCATTTTTAATATTTAGATAGCACGAAACAATTAACAAGTATTAGTTACAAATGAAAACCAATAACAAACTCAATATTATATAAACAAAACACTAATATATATAATAATTATTATATAAAAATACTTCTAATTTATTCAGGATATTTGATAGATGAATGTCTTTTATTTATTCACGCAAACAAAATTTTTAACACTAGATAAAATACATTGTATATCAGACTAACGACTTAAAAAATAATTACAAAAATGAAACCAAAAAAAGATACACAATAAAATAAAGTGTATTATTTACATATGTATCATAATTTAGTATATTTTCCCCAGACATCACAAGACGCCAGCTATCGCCTGCTCATACAAGGCCGCGGCTGGCTACTTGTACCCACTCGAGAAGGGTTTCATTTACGTACACAAGCCACCCGTACATATACGGTTTGAAGAAATAGCCTCCGTTAACTTCGCCAGAGGAGGTGCTTCATCCACTAAGTAAGTTATGAGTAACGTTATATATACATAGGTAATAAATAATTATTTGGTAAGCACAGATATCAAAAATCTTAATATGTGACATTGGCGGAAGGTATTTTGCATAATTTTATATTGATCAATCAAGATCAAAATTTTCATTTAAATCCAATATGCAGTTTCGAGAATCAAACCATGAAAATATCAATACCTATTCTAATTTATCTAATATAAATTCAGTAATAACTGTTTCCCTTATAATATTTATTTATTTAAATACATATGTTATTTATCAGTTTATTTTCATAATTTTTCCCCAGATCATTTGATTTCGAAATAGAATTGAAGTCAGGCAGCGTTCATACATTCAGCAGTATTGAGAAAGGGGAATACGATAAGCTCTTTGACTATATCACCTCCAAGAAGCTACACGTCAAGAACACCGGCAAAAATGTAAGGCTTTAAAGATTTTACTTACTAATATATTGCTTTACTTTGCTATTGGCTAATTAACTAATTGGCTAATTGACTAATTGGCTTTACTTTGCTATTGGCTAAAGTAGTAATGTTCACTGGACCCCGCATCTGCATGGTGAATTGTGAGATGTTTCGTCTTCTGTCTAAACTACAAAAAAAAACTGTTTTTCAATTATCAACACCGATCTTATAGATCCTGTATTATATTATACATAGTTAACCATGTTATATGAAATAATAAATATAAAAAGCGATCTAATCTTATGTACTCTATCCGGGTTCTAAGAAAGTATAAAACTATCTAGTGTTGCCAACCATACGAAAACTGTTTTTCAATATATAATTTTAAAATTATGAATAGTGTTGCCAACATTATAAAACCTTTTAATACGATATATTGATGTGAATAATTCCGTGGTTCCAGGACAAGGCTCTATATGATGACGACTTCGGCGATTCAGACACAGAGAAGGAGCCGGACGCGTACCTCGCGAGGGTGAAGGCGGAGGCCGAGGAGAGGGACGTGGACGACTCTGATGAGAGTACAGACGAGGACTTCAACCCCGACAAGGCCAAGGAGAGCGACGTGGCCGAGGAGTATGTACATTACACACACACACACACAAACTAAAGTACATGTGACATGTGTACCTTATAAACTATACCTAAATACTAACTAACATAGTACAATAGTATCTGTATCAGTGACGGCCGTACCTTAAGTGCACTCGTGCGCTGAACCACCAATTCAAAAGATTTAAAAATTACAAAATATTACTTCATCTTTATTTTTAAATTACCATTTTAATATTTATTAACTAAACCTACAAAAATTTATAAAAAAAAAATGGAATTTCCTAATTATGGTCCAAAAGTTTGAGCGCTTTACTAAACTCATATCGTGCGCTTCGGCGAGTGCACGAGGACTGCTAAATGAAAGTGCATCTTGTATGAGATACGAATAAATACGTCTGACGCGTGAAACAAAAGATAGTTCGTAGAAATGTACCGAGTAATGAGCCGGTTCTCGAGCGCCGCACGAACGGCCGAAGATTACCGAAGGCACCCTATGTATGACGAAATCATGATTGTCATCTCGTTATGTTTTGTTGCATTTTCTAATTTAAATATTTTTGTAAAGTGCACCACCAGTGCGATTACCCACCAGCTACCACTGATCTGTATGGACACAATTTCTTTGAATTATATATTTTTCTTCCCTTAAACAGTTATAAACCTACATATATTAACTTATGAATATTATTTTTTTACTTAATTTGTGTTAAACTTAAAATCTGTTTCCTTATGGACATAATTTGTTTAAATTTTATATTTTTATTCTTTAAACAATTATATCAAAGATTACCGCAGTTAATATTGCTTTAACAATATAGCGTTACTTTATATTTCATTGGATTAAAAAGTTTTTTAATGATTTGATTTTATACAATTTAATTTGTACAATCGAAGCTTACATATGGCTATAGAGGAAGAAGATTTCACATACACTTAACCAAAAATTCGTATACAAAAAGTTGTCTATAATACAAATTGTAACTAAATATATTCTTATCTATACTAGGTATGACACCAACCCATCGTCCTCCGAAGACTCGGATGCTTCAGGTGGTTCAGGGGACAGCAAAAAGGAAAAGAAAAAAGAAAAGAAACCAAAGAAAACCATCACTATTGTAAGTTAAAATACTTATAAATAACTAGCTTTTCGCCCGCAGCTTCGGCCGCGTGGAGTTCGCTTATATTATCGCGTTTCAAAGAGAACCTTTCATAAGTCTAGGATAAAAACTAACCTATGTTCTTTCTCAAGGTCAACTCTATGTCTGTACCAAATTTCATTAAAATCAGTTCAGTGGTTTAGGCGTGAAAGCGTAACAGACAGACAGAGTTACTTTCGCATTTATAATATTAGTAGGGATAAGTAATGTATCAAATAAACTTTTTTTAGAAATATGTAACACTTATTGAAATTTAAAATGTCTAATATCATTCATATGGTTAATAAGTTATAAATATTAAATTATACATGGATAATATTGATAAATATATTCTATTTCAGTCAGAACAGCCAAGGAAACGTAAAGAAAAATCAAAGAAACGTGAGAAAGACGTGAACGCGCCTAAGAGACCTGCTACGGCGTTCATGTTGTGGCTCAGTGAACATAGGAAAGGCATTATAGAGGATAACCCCGGGATTAAAGTTACTGAGATAGCCAAGAAGGGAGGAGAACTGTGGAGGGATTTGAAGGATAAGACGGTTGGTTTAATGTATATATATATTTAAAACATAAGTACATAGTAAAATGTTATGTATAGTAGTTAAATAACATTAGGTGGTAATTTTTGATTTTCAATTGAACTTCTTCAAAGACCATACGAAATAGTTATATGTAGTCATATTTTAATTTATAATGTATTTCTTTTGCAAGCTTTATTTTTTTCATTGAGTCTCACAAATTTAAATATATATTGTATATAATTATGCTTTAATTACTATTAATATAGGCAGATTGTACTTTCATTATTATACAATGAATTATTTTTTCATAATAAATAACTAGACGATTTTTTACAAATATGTATTAATTATTTTGCTACAGCAACCTTCATTAATGTCAGTATTGCCAACAACAAAACATTCTATACTCACATGTATTTTTAGGAATGGGAAGAAAAAGCAAACAAGGCTAAAGAAGAATATAATCAAGCTATGAAGAAGTACAAAGACAGTGGAGCGGCTGATGAATTCAAACAGAAGAAGAAACAAGCGGAGAAAGATAAGAAGGCTGCTGAGAAGAAGTCCAAGCCATCAAGTAAACCCAAACAGAGCAAGAACACTAGTGCTGGCTCGGGATCTGGGAAGTTTACGAGCAAGGAATATGTGGAGGATGATGATAGCTCATCCGACTCGGATAAGGAAAAGAAAGATAAAAAAGATTCCAAAGATGTGAGTTTTTTAAAACTTGGTTAAAGTTTTAGTTGTTGTATATGTCCATGGGCAATGCTAGCTACTGCCCAAAAAGTAGGTCAGCTCGTTTGCCACCTTTAATATAAAAATCTTGAGTATAGCTCGGGATTATAAAAAAGGAATATGATTTTGTTTTTAATGTTTTAAGTGATTATTGACCTTATTTTTTAACTTTTGATACAAATAGTAGACAGTAATCAAAATTTATCTCTACGATCAGGATTTCAGTCAAAGCCTAATAACTAATAAATAACCAAGAGATTGCCAGTTCGAAACCCGCTGCTGCCAATGAATTTTATGACTGAAAATAACTTTAATACCAGATTTACTAATTTTATTTTGATTAACAATAGAAATGCCCATATTAAACATTATTTCTGCAGTTACCAAAGTATATCTTATAATAGTTTTGTTATTAATGTTTTTTTTTTTCAGAGTAAGGAATCTAAGAAGAGCAAGGCCAAGTCTTCATCATCAGAAGCGGAGTCGTCCGGCTCTGGCGACGAAAGCGGAAGCGGGAGCGGGAGCGATTAAATAAGATTATGTTATAAGTTAGTTTATATGAAAACTGAAATAAATGATGAATGTTATCTTCATATGTTTTGTTTCAAAAACATTAATGCGATTTTTAATTTATTTTATCTCCATATTGTCAAAAAACCGGTGTCAATTGTTTATACATAACATCACTGTTACGCTTTGTATGTTTTTGCAATCAACCATGTCTTATTTTAGTCAAGTATTCAACAATAGAAATCTGATTGAAGCATTGACTATATATTTTTGTTATTCCTTTTTTCTTAATTAAAAACTCAACATTTCCCGTCTGGATTTAATTCCTTATAACTTTTAAGCCACTAATTTTTCCATGAATGGTCTTAACTCGTTGCCTTGGCGTGATATATCTCAAGATTAATGAGATCTAAGATTTTCGCGAGTACTCATTTAAATGAAACTAATATTTTTCGGATTTTACATCACTCACTCATATGAGTCCACATCTCGTCTGCCCATGATCACGGTTACTGAAAAGTAGCCGAAACGTCGGGATTATGTATTTTTAATCAAAAATAAAACGCGAAGTAAAATCCGAAAAATATTAATTTCATCTATCTCAAGATTAGTCTGGAAACATTTTTATTATTCGCATTTGCGAAATCCTCTGCCTATCACTTTCATTTCATTTGTCATATATAAGTGGATCAAATATTATCATAATGGTGTTGTAAAATTTTTACTGAATTCCTCCGTACAAGATAATAAAGAGATGATATAAGAATAATATCATTACATGTGGTCGTGGTGACCTAGAGATTAAAGGCACGCCTCTCGTGCATAAGGGCGCGGGTTCGAAATATGGTAAGGAACAATGTGATTCTATTTCATAATTACTTCCTAAGAGTATTAAGACATCACTGACAGACGGTGAAGGAAAACATCGTGAGGAAAACTGGACTTATAACTCCAAATTATAATTTTGAAATCGCCAACCCGTCTTGAACAAGCGTGGTGATTGAGGCTCAAACTTTCTCCATGTGAGAAGAGGACTTTGCTCAGCAGTGGGCTAATAGGCTGATGATGATGATGATAAAAATAATATTCGCTAAGACTTCATGTGGCTATTACACAATGAACAGAACCACGTATTTATGTTTTTATATTTTTGCCTACACCACAATGTAAATAAAAATGACAAGTGAATTCGTACAACTAATATCACGCTTTTTAAACAGACGTCTTATAAGCTTAAAATTTCAAGCAGTTTTTGAAAGTCGTATATGCAAAACGATTTATACAATCACGGTTTTACTAAAAGCCCACAAAAGCAAATATAAAGACGAAATCCTCATTGTCTTTGCCTTTTTGTAAGAGAGCAGCAAAAAGGTCTTATTAATATTGTCTTGTGAATATTAGAAACCAATAAAACTATATAGTTAAATTCTGGTCTTACAAAAGTCGACTATCCCATACTTGCCTATCCAATTTCTAAACGCCGGTAACTAAAATTGAATTAATATATAATGCAAACTTGAATTAATATATAAATTTTTAAAAAAATGTTTTTCTATACTAATATACATATGTGTATGTACGACGATATAAAAAATAATGACAGCTGACTACTGTATTTGTAAACTCATTAGTCGGTAGCAGTTATACTGACTATAGTAGGGGACAAATACGGTTGGGTCTTATAAGAAATAACACTTTGGTGTTGTACTTAATAAGCAAAAAAGAGAGTATTTGGTATGTTAGTTTCTACGTCATATAAAAAAATTATGAAAAAACAACCATAATTTATTGAATTACAGCATATTTATTAATAAATATATTTAATATTAGCAATGACGCAATAAAAACTTTCAAAAGATTATATCACATACATATAAAATCTTTAAGAATTCTAAAACACCTTTCTGTTAAAGAAAAGGAAAGCGTTTGTGTCTATTTTCTTAACGTCGTTCACGACAGTGCAAATGTATGAAATGTTACTGCTATTGAATCTTCGTAGATATATGATTCCTTACACATGCGAAGCCAAACAGAGAAACGGATTGGTGAAATATAATTTTACTGGGCAAAAAATTAACGCCCATTGTACCTAATGTGGGTCTGACTACCTGATGTTACCTTAGACACCCTTACGATCATTCGGAACTATTGGGGTTTGCAACGAAACTATACGACTTAAAAAATACCACAACATTTAAACGAAGAACTTATTTAAAACAAAATAATATGCAACGGTTACATACTTTTAGGTAATACGAAATAAATTATCTGTAAAATTAAATCTTTTTTGGTTATTGATAAATGTGGAGGTATGGTTATTAAATATATACATGTTCTCATAACTAAATTAATAATCTTAAAATAAGTGCAATATTAAAGTTAAACAGGCATAACAGTGATCCATGAATAATTCCTTCCCTTCCGCTTTACTGAAGGGGCTAAAGTGCATCACATACAATAGCTTGCTATTATTATTGTATGCATTTAACGCTATGCAATTGTTAAACGACCATTCTGATTTATGTGTTATAAGATGCCCGATTTTTTCCCGCTCTTTATGAACCATGGGAATACTCTTTAATTAATTCCCCTAAAATTCTTCTAACAGAAAGCGAACGTTACTTTGTAAAATAAAATTAAATGTAAATTTTTGAATTACTTCTACATATTTACTATAGGAATCATGTACCTACAAACATTTAATTTATATATATATTCAAAATAATTGTGATATTTTTCAACATAGTAGTATAAGTAAATGGTTTCGTCTCAGCCATAAAAGGAGCGTAATTTTGTACAGACATACCTAATTATACATACATATAATGGAGTTTCAAAGTTGCCTTCCAAATGGAGGGCGAGTGAACCACATTTATAAAACATTTTATATATTATTATGAATTCAGAATGAAAACTAAGTTTCTATAACATTTAAATGTTTAAAAACCAACAATGTGAGGATTGAGTTAATTTATTTTTTAAGTATCCGTAGAGATAAGAAAATAACGTATAGGTATTTGAAGGTATTAGGTTTAAATAACATTCAAAGTCATTAAAAGTCACAAAATAAAGAAATTTAATTTATAAATAAAGCATGGTAAATATATATAAATGTAATATGTAGGAAAGTAAATATTAATTTGCTTATATCGGACGATATGGATGTCCAAAACTCACACGAATTATCTTAAAACATGCTTCACCTATCGAAAGAATATTTGTATCTACATTTCATACACGAGCATTTTTGGATCAATGTGAATGTAAATTTAAGTTATACGAAAAGATCCCTTGGCGGAGCTTAAAAATGAATTAGGTAAATATATACTTACCTACCTAGTATTGTTTACGGAATCATTTTAATTTTGAAATGAAATCAGAAATCATGAAAAAACGTGTTTAGACTATAAGTAGAGACGTTTTATTTTAAAGACCTTAATTTTAATACTCTCCTAATATTATGTTGCCGTTTGTAGCATCGGTAAGCGATCACCAAACAGTATAGAGTTTCAAAAAATAACGACTTAAGTCCATAACATTTTTACTACTACTTATGAAGTTAAAAAGACTTGTATTTAATCATTACAAAAAGTTTTAAGTTTTTAATTTACCAATTCTTCTATTGAGACACAAACTAATTTTATTAGGAACATTTAACTTTGACTTTGTTAGCTATTTACATGTTATAATACAACATTGTAAAACCTTTATATCTATTAGGGTGTAAAACATGTATTTTACTCTATACGGTGTTCTAATAATATCGGTATAGGCTATCGTTAGCTGCGAAAGGTATAACGAGCTTAACTTGATCGAAGTGAAAACATCGACACAGCGCTTAAGCGTCGCCTTTTTTGCTATACAAAGGCCGTTTATGTTGTATCTGTAAGCACGCAACGGTAACATTTGTAATATACGTTATAAGATTCTGTACTTATTGGCAGAAAACATACTAGCATGTTATATTAATATTACTATTGAAAACTAATAATTTACCTTACATACATAGAGAAACTAAATATGCATATGATACGCTTATAATATATCTGTTGAAATATGACGCTATTAGGTTCATTGTACTATTCTGGGATCGGACCTGAATAATTATCTAATAAAGTAATATATCCACACAAAAAAGTTATTTCAATCCTACTGAGTATATATTAAATTTAAATTAATAGAGAATATTCGTTTATTAAAGATATTTACAATAAATAAATAGTCTTGTACTGTTACTTATACGTGGGGGTTCTTAAAGGAGCATAAGATAAGATATTTGGAGTGAGAAAAATGTTCAATATTCGTAGTATTTTATTCAATGAATATCTAGAATGTATTTTATGACCATCATCTTAAGTACTACGCCCTTATAAGCCAAGAAATAAAAACTATTTCTCAAGATCTCTCAAAATATCAAATCGTAAACAAACGCGCTCACAAATGTTGTTTTATTGGCGTCCCTTTCTTACTTACGTTTGCCGCGCTTTTTACTATTTCGTAATAAACGTTGGCGGCATTTAAAATCCGGCGCGAGTTATTTTGTTAGAGTCTCATAAGGGAAACCTAAAAGTGGATTGAGGCAATTTTGACGTACTTCTTAAATGAATGTTATGAAAGTTGTTATAAAAAATAATAATTTATCTATTAAGCATTCTCATATGTTGTAATTGTGACGTAATTTTACATAATAACAACACAATCTGGTAAAAAAGATTTATGAAGAAAATGTAGGGAAAAATATTTTATGCTCAAATGTAAACTTTATATCAGGGACGTTAAAACTGATTTCTGAATGATATACGTAGCATGCATGTCACGGATATACGTATACAAGATACTTCCTTGATTCCGTGATGTTGGTAGGACTGATCTATTGAACCAATCACGTACAAGATAGGTGGCGCTGCGGTAGCGACGCGAGACGGCCCCAAGCTAGCTTGCACTGGGAACATTACTTCGAGCTCCATACATTTTCTTCTGGTTCTCTACGTCTGCAGTTTGGTTGTGTACCAGTTCAAAAATTATTTCAAAATTTTTGCCATCAGGTAAGTCTAAGCGTTATTTTAACTAAAGTTATGTGTTTTAACAATGTTTATAGTAATAATGAGTGCGAAATTCGATAAAATATGTTTTGTTCCACGTTGGAATTCTGAGTCAAACATGGCTATAGGCTTCGTCGCACTTTCTGTACTACGCGTGGGTACGAGGACGCCCCATTTTTGATAATTAATTTCTCAAATCTTTTCCATTAAACGTCTAAAACAGTTCTTCTACAACTTTTAGAGCAATAATCTTACGATTATTTGGTAATTATGTCATCTCTAGATAATGCGTATTTTCTACAAAATATGAGAAAACAAAATGGCTCTTTCGACTCGGGCATAGGCCAGTGAACTCGTTATAAGGGGCGATAACTAAAATCATTGATTATTGCAGTGGATTATACTGAATTAAAGTGGGTTTTGATAGATTTTTTCATATAAAATTAAATGGAATTAGTATTTTCTTAGTATTCAGCTTCTAGGTCATTTCCCGCCAAAACGTGTCTTAGAATGCCTTGTAGTAGCGTGGAAGCACGTTACCACGAATAACTCGGGCCATTCATTTACTACGTACGCTACTGTCGTATTTTAAATATTAATTATTTGTTTCGTTTTAGGAAAAAAGTTAAAATGACGGACAAGCCGAAGCGTCCTATGTCAGCATATATGCTTTGGCTTAATAGTGCACGAGAACAAATTAAGTCCGAGAATCCGGGACTTAAAGTTACTGAAATTGCCAAAAAGGGAGGCGAAATATGGAGATCAATGAAAGACAAGAGTGTGAGTGTATATCACATTAATAAAACCAGTTGAATTATTAATTAAACACGATTTATGTACTAATTGATTATATTAATTAATTATAATTTCTATTTTATTAAGGTTTGGGAGGAAAAGGCGGCTAAAGCTAAGGAGCAGTACACAAAAGACTTGGAGTCATATAACGCAAATGGAGGCGGTGGTGAAGGTGGCGGTAAAAAGGCACAGAAGAGAGGAAAGAAGGGCAAAAAAGCTTCCCCTGCTGTAAATAATAACTTTTTAACTGATACATTAAATATATAAGGATTGTATACATAATGGTGACCTACAAAGATCAATAGTTATTAAGTTGTTTAATTCTTTAACTTTGTTCCAGAAGGCAAAGAAGAAGAAGGAGGAATCAGATGAAGAAGAAGCCGGTGAAGAGGAAGAGGAAGAAAGCGAATGATCTCCCAACATAGGCATTTCTGTTCATATTGAATAATTTACTTGGACTTAATTTATTACAAAATAAAAATGGGACTGACTTTCCAAAGTCTGTATCTGAAAGGGTTTAATTTTTTATAAAAGTATTACAGAGATTTTAATTCGTGAATTATTATTAATGAAATTACTCATCGATTATTTTATAAATTTGATGGACAATTATATTTGTTGGTATTTTAATGAGTGTCGCAGCTTGGTATCTTAGTATTTTGATAATGATAGGTTGTGAGTGCAGAGTTTGGAAAGTTCCACCACAGGCTAGGTATCTAGGTTTCTAAGCCTCAAAAAAAATAATGTTTAAGTGTTAGCATGTATACACTGGGGAATTGTACAGTTAGCCCTCCCTCGTTAAGTTCGCTGTGACTACTGGATGCTCATGTTTTTTATGTACCTCAGGATGGTTTTATCAAAACTGTTATGTCTCCCAACATTGTCGTAAAGCTGTGCTTTAAATTGATATGCCATAAGTATAATTTACGCTATATATAATATTTTTTGCCCACTGACATTATAGTTTTGGTCGAACCGTGTTAACATGTAAAATTAGAGACAATTTCATGAATGATGTGACGGCTTATTGTTAATTAAACCTACCTCTCATTGTAAATTTCAATGCTTATAAATGGTACCAAACTTTTAAGCTAAGAACCAGTTTGGGACATGGGCCCACGCTGAGCAATTTAAATTTAGGAAATTGATGTGTATGTTGTATTTTTAGTTAGTTATAGGTAGGTTTCAATGTGATTAGTCTCTCAAATTTTACATTTGTGTTATTTTGTAAATGAGAATTAGCATTCCTCATGTCAATACGGATTTTACATGTTCAATAAAGTAATTTCATATAAGATTCTATTTTTCAATTTGTCTTTTCATTCTTCTTTACCTTGTCTTTCTTACTTAAGTCCTTTAAAAAAGTAAAATTAAATAAATATACAATATTCAATTACATAAACAGTTGACGTGACGTTATTAATTTATGATTGAACGTTAATTTAATGAGTCTACGGTTGAGTTAATTATTAATAATTAAACGCCACCCGTCCAACTCATTTGAAGACGCCATTTTGTAAGCGTCGATTGCCTAGGCTTTGTCATATTTATCACGTTAACAGATAACGGGACATTTACCTGATTATTTTTAATCTATATGTATGATGACGCAAAACTAAATAACAATAGCGTTATTGTATCACAATAATAACAATGAGAAGAATTTCGTTGCTTATAATATCTATATTCTATTACATATAAATGTTAGAATTATTGATTATTTTACATGTAATGTTTTTATTTTGTAACCTTAAGGATTCTTTATACAGTTAATTGTAGAAAGTAATTATGAATGAAATAAAATAATATTTCTTTAAATTTCATTATTATCAACATGAAACCTTTAAGTTCTTCACATTTATTACTATTTATGGAATCCAAAAATTAGCTTTACACTTTCGATGGCATTTGCTGTCAGTTTCTATACGTCAATTGAAATATTGTATTTTTAACTTTTACTAAACATTTAAATAAACAACATTTTGATATAAAGTGCCTTCAAATAGATTGAACTCGAAATATAACATTTTTTCGTAATTGCAATGTTAGAGAAAACAGAGATTCAAATTGAGTAAATCCATTAATGTTAGTTATAGCCGGAGTGTCGATTGTTTTTCATAATATGTCTGGGGATAGCGCGGTGGGAAGCGGCTCTCAGGTGGCATTGGTAACTGGTGGATATGACCACACGATCAAGCTATGGCAGGCCCACAGCGGCGTCTGCTTGCGAACCATGCAGCATCCAGATTCGGTAACCTATAACATGATACGATATAAAAACGTTAAATCCGAACTCGCTGCTTGCACATTTTAGTTAATCCTTAGAGCCTTGTAAGAAAGGTCGATAATTCATGAATTGTTCATTAGAATGTGCAGCGTGGAACCCAATATACTATATTCTCAATTTGCTATTTCTATTGTTCAATTACTAAATTTATTTTTTTTCAACTGACCGAAGTCTTAATTATCATTACCTATTGCATGCCTATGTCAGTTAGTTCCTCATTAGCCATATATACTATAATTGGTTTTTATTATGTTTTATAGCAAGTCAACGACTTAGAAATAAACCCAAATGGTCAAATGGTAGCGGCCTGCGGTTATCAACACATCAGGACCTACGACCTGGCCAGCGCCAATCCCGATCCAGTTATGAATTTTGAAAATATAATTAAAAATGTGTCAAGAGTAGGCTTTCAGGTATGTCATTTAGAATTGAATTATTGTGAGATATTTGTATATTATATAGTTGTTATCATATCATTAACTATTAATGAGCTTAGAAGAGATAATAGTTACTAATAAATTATAATTTCTGTAGGAAAATGGTCAGTGGATGTACACTGGCGGTGAAGACTGCACAGCAAGGATATGGGATTTGAGGTACAATTCAAAGTATCACACAGTACCAACTTTGTTACTATTATATAACATTTCTGTGACCTTCATTTTCATCTTAATATTACTATTTTCAGAGTGGGTCGCCCATTTCAATGTCAAAGGATATTTGAGGTCCCTGCACCAGTGAATGCGGCTGTTCTTCATCCCGACCAATCGCAGATCATTGTGGGCGGTCAGACTGGCATCATACATATATGGGATATAAGAACCGATCATCATGAACAGTTGGTAACAACTCAACATTATTTATTAATTTTAATATACAATAAATTCTATATAATTACCAAAGAGGATTGATGTCAGGCAGGCGACCAGTCTTAAAAACAATTAGCCAAAATTATTAACAACATGTTCTGTGAAATATAGATGAATTGTGCCTACCCTACATAAAGTGGGACCAGATCAGGAAAAAAAAGAAGATTCAATAAATTCTATACAGTTTACTGAAGTTGTTGAAAATTATGATATAGTATGAGTTTACTGTTTTTATACTTAGATGAATTTTATATAACATTTGAGAATACTTATATATTATATACTTGGTTGGAGTACTCAATAATGTCTTGAGTATAAAAATAAAAATTGTAATTATGAAATCTTATAATCCTGTCTTAATTTCGTATTTATAAAGATTCCAGAAGCCGAAGCAAGTATCCAGGACATAGCTATAGACCCTGAAGGTAAATTGATGGCTGCCGTCAACAATAAGGGCAACTGTTATGTGTGGTCACTCGGTGGCTCCCCGCCTCGCCCAGTACCACGAACTAAACTACAGGCCCACAAGAAATACGCACTACGCTGCAAATTCAGTTATGATTCAACGTAAGTAATATTTATTTACTGTCATTTCCCATTTAGCCAAAATTTCCTCTGAGTTGATTGCCCTAAATTGTTATACCATTCTAACTTCATTTATTTTCTGTAAACGAAGCTAATGCTTTTAATTAATTAAAAAATTGTTTGGTCTTATTGATTATGATTTGTCAGAAGATTTGGAAATTGTATTTTGCTTAATACCTCAAGATGGCAAGAGTTATTTTGAAATAATGCTCTCTCTTTATTACATTGCTGATATGTAAAAAAAGGAAATTTTATTGATATTTTATTACCGATCTTTAACCTCCTCGGTTCATAAATAACTTAAACCATACAAATATTTCTCATCAGTTATCTATAACAATTTTACACCATACTTAGAAATCTATATCTATAGTACGCGGTAGAGGTGGGAGCGAGAGGTATAACAGCTAAATCTCTCTATAACCTACTAACAGACTTGGGCCTGTCCAGAACTAACATTAATTCATTCTTAGAACGTACGTCGAAGGCAGCCCTAGTAGGTTCTTTTCAAATTTGGTTAGGTAGGGAGAGGAGTTTGGACAGTGGAGGTGAGTGTATAACGCACGATAAATAGGGGCCCCTTAAACCTACACCTGAGTCGCAAGTCCCAGGCAGTGTTGAAGCTCCTCACTGAATGTGAATCCATTGAATGCTAAGAGGTTTCGTCTCGTCTATAGAATGTATCACAAGTATATAAATGTTAATATTGTTTCAGTATGTTAGTTACTACATCAGGAGATTGGTCGGCTCGTGTGTGGCGTACCTCAGATTGGAGCCTCATGAGGGAACTGAGACATGACTCACAGCGTTGGGTGTGGGACGCTGCCTTCACACTCGACTCAAGATACCTCTTCACTGGTAATTATTTGATAAAGACATCTTATCTCTTCAATACAATAATACCATATCGTCGAGGAAAGTGCTAATCTGTGTAACTACTGTTGGATAATTCCCCATATCTACATGGGAAGCAGATTATAAGAAAGTTTAAGCTGAAATATTTTCTAATTTATTACTTATTGTGAAAAAATTACGTTAAAAGTCGTTAATTTACAAAATATTTCAGCTTAAACTTCCTTCTGATAATCTGCTTCAAACGTAGATACACGGAATTATCGAATGGTAGTTAAACGGATTTGCATTATCCCCGACGATATGTTGAAGTGCTCACACAAATAATTAGTTCAGATTGCTGTACTTAACATTCTTATTCAAAAGTATTTTATTTAAGAAATTTTTATTAAAGTACATATATCTTAATTAATTTTGAATGATAAAATTTGTCTATTAAAATTATTTTAAACAATAAATATTATGTAACATTGATTCATAAGTAGTTTTTATTACAAAATAAATGGTTAACATGACAATTAATTACAGGTTCATCTGATAGTTATGCTCGTCTTTGGGATCTGGAAAAAGGTACTTTGGAACGAGAATACTGTGGACATCAGAAGTCAATAACAGCTCTTGCATTCAGAGACCAAGCTGTATAAGTCATAGTTAACATAAGTATAAGTTTATATATATGAAAATTGTGTAATATATAAGTTCCTTTTTGTTACAACTTTTTGAGGTACAGAAAAAATTGTTTGCTTTAAAAAATCCAGCTACGGGATATGTATCTCTAGACATGTGTTCAATGCATTTACTGTGTAAATATTATTTAGACATACTTTGTAAATAATGATTTGATACAGAATAAAGTATAAAAATAAAGGCTATGTTTTCTTTGTCTGTAATTTTTTGAATTTTACTTAAGTAACAGAAAAAATCTTTACTAGTTTTACCTTTGCATATATTTTGAATGGTAGTCTCAGTTGGGTGGTATATATGAATAAAACAATCAGTAAGCAGATATTATTTACTCTTCATATAAATATTATATTTGTATTTAATTCCAATATTGAATATTGCACAGCGAAATAAATAATAAAATTTAAAATATTTTTATATCAATACACATACTTTGTTGTTACGACGTTCAGAAATACAATGAACTTATAAAATTTTAATCAAATATATTTTAAAAATTACTTAAAAAATTAATTATCTTCAATGGAATGTCGAAACTTAATTTGAAATTCGACTAGAACCAATATTAAATGCAAAACATCACAAAAAAACATGCTTTTTTATTAAGCGTGTCACATTTTTCAAGTCTAATTATATATTTTGTTACTATTGGCCTTTTCATAGTTCTCAATTATTAACTAATTTATAACTGATGTCATTTCGAGTTACATTCAAAAATATGAGAGCACGAAAGTGGCAATTTATTATACAAATGAAAATATAATACACGTTACCCTAAATATATAGAAAATACGTATTATTTCAAATGAAATAATTATAATGAGATCAATAATGTTGTGCGTTTGGAAACGATACATTAAATTCATATAATTCACACGTCAACATTGTTTCGAAACTAAAAAGATTTTTGCCGCAGGAAATAGGTATTATATGAGAATTATAAAACATTTACACTTAAAATTGTTTCAAAACCGAACATAACTTAGGCCACTTTTGTGCTATCGAATCACTAACTCATTTATGATTCATACCGGTGTTGCCAGATATTATTTTTTAATAATTTTATATATCTTGAAGTGGCAATACTACTTCGCCCATTTCGCTGCACGTGTCTCCCTCTATGGTGTATGTGAGTACGAAACGAAGTTGTAGTGATGTAGACGATGGTGTTGCCAGCAACATGAGCTGTGTTAAGGCTGGCGGAGGTAGGAACGGGTTGTACACCGGAAGTGACGTACCGGACGCCTCTAACAAACGAACCTTACAGCCCTAGAAATAAGACAAATATGATTCAGAAAAAATTTCAACTGAATTCACATTAAAAGGTTTTTAAATTTTAAATTTGGAATGGTTAAAAAACAAAGAAGACAAAATGGAATTTGCATGGAACTAAATTTGAAGTTTCACTAATGAAAACAAAATAATTAATTACCTTTACATAAAATAAAACAAAATCTGTTAGTAGCTCAGAATATTAAGGCATTGCTTTTAAAAACTTCAGACTCTACACTCACCAATATTGTGAACAGAGTTTGTGAAATTAGCAAAAGATAGAAAATCATTATTACCTTAGGAACGACAGCTTGGAACTTGTATTCCTCAATGGGCATCTTACTATTACTTGTAGTTGATATAACAACAACATTGACATCAGGCCTCGGTTTGTCTTTACAGAAATGCAGCACTACCTTCAAACCATCTTCTTCCTCATAAGCTGTTATCGGAGGAACTTTACTTGGGTGTACACTTTGTAGGGTGACATTTATATCTGTTAGAGGTTTCACATCACATTTACTTTTCATATCTTTTTGTTCAGCCTTAATTATCTCCTTTTTATCGTCTGCCATAATACTATTTGTTTTATTGTCGCCCGTTAGTCCTATATCTATAATATTGTCTGCTGAACTGTCTTTTGAGATACATTTATTTTCCACATGGTTTGTTTGATCATCGGAACTGATATCTACCATCACATCGTCATTTGGAGTTATAGATTTTGATGAATGTCCTTGTGGGGATAGATTGACGGCTTTCTCTATTTTCTTTGTGAAAAAATCTAAGTCTAGTATTGCATTATTGTTAGCAGTTTGTGTGTCATGTTTAGGTGAAGTTGTCTCCAAAGCATTCATCGGTATCTTCTTTGAATGTTTACTGTAAATATATTTTATAATCATTGTAAAATATAATGCTACATTTTTTTAAATTTTCATCAATATAAACTCACCTATTAAAATTATCGAGACGTTTTACATTATTAGGTAATGATTGTTTTAATAATTGTTCACCCAAACTGTCTAATTCATGCCATCCTTCAACTTTCTTGTCTTTTGTTTCTTGTTTCTCATTATCTTCTACAAGAAATATTAAACATTCTTACAAATTACAATTATATATAATAAAAACTAATAACTGTATATCCATAAATAGCTAAAATTTCCAAATTAAATTTTGAATATATAGAAAATACTACAGTGAAAGTATTACCTATAGCCATCAAATTAACAGGTTTCAATGGTTCTGCAATATTATTGACTCCACCATCATTATTAAAAATATCTCCTAATTCATCAATCGTCGAAGGATTTGTTTTTTTTGTTGGTGTGAATTAACATTAGCTCCGGCAAAATCTAACAAACTGTTATTAGTCTGAGAACTTGCTGGATCCTTTGATTTGTTTTTCTTGTCATTAATAAACTTATTGTATTCCTCAAACACCTCGTCGAGAACATCACTTGCGTGTAATATCTCAGCTGAAATTTAAGTATTGACAATTATTATACAATTAAGAACGAATATGCTATTTTCACATTATTCTATCTATTATCTTACTGAACATTTTTATATTAAAAACATTTTATTCACTATATAAAAGACCATTAGTTAGTGGTCGCCTAGTGGTTAAAAGGCCCGCCTCTCATGCATGAGGCCGCAGGTTCGATCCTGACAAGTACCAATGTGATTTTTCCAAGTCATATATACTTTCTAAGAGTATTTAGACATCACTGATTAATGCATTCCCAAAGAGGGTTGATGTCAGGCAGGCGGCCGGTTGTAAAAACAATTAGCCAAAACGATTCAAAACATGTAACGCAGACCCTGACAAAAGCTGGGAAATTGTCAGGTAGAAGAAGAAGAAGAAGATAAAAGACCATTATTCTGACTCACATAAGTTGTCGCCCTGGGCATCCGAAGATGCAAGTCTTTGTAGAACCGGCCTGAGTCGTACACAGCTAGCGTGTAGTTCATGAATGAGCTGTTCCTCGTCGGCAGATGCATCAGATGAATGTTCCAGCAAGTCCTTTAACAAACCCGCACTATCCAAAGCCGCTATAACCTCTTGAGCTTTACGGCAATTTGCTTCTGTCCGCCTCTCCTCCTAAGCATTTTAAAATAAGATATTATATTGCATTTTAAAAAGTATATAATCATTTACCATTTACATATTAAAAAAATCAAGAATTCTACATAAGCTTTTTGTTTAAAATATCTTTCTCTTGTAAAACTGGTCTAGACATACATAGCAATATATTTTATGGATATTTTGTTAGCTTTTCAAAATATTTTAATACACTTGTTATATAAAATTATCTTTCTTAAATGTTAGTATCTCTTAAAAAACATGTTATGTAATTGTCTCTTATAATACTTACTTCTCGAACCATAGTTTTAATAAGTCTATTGGCATGCTGTAGATCTTCTGGCTTTTTGCTTTGGAGTAACTTCTGCAATAACTTTGATTTTTCCTCATCTTCAAATATAGCATTTTTTGCTCTCAAGCGAGGAATATTTGTATCCTCTGGAGGTAAAGGCGGAGGAGTTTCTTTAATTACCCCTTGGTTTTTAAGCATGTCGTAAGCAACCTTAAACTTGGTTTCTTTTGGAAATTCTATTGACCACGCATGTATTAGTTGGAGAACCTACAATTGTGTAAAGAATATTAATGCAAGAAGTACTATATTTATAAAAGAATTTACTAATAATTTTAAATATGTACACAATGACTTCTTTTAAAACATTGGCTTGTTAAAATTTTGTATTTTATTCTTACATAATGATGTAATATACAACTGTAACTAGTATGATAGAAATTATTACACATTTATTACAATTTTGACTTTCAACACATAAATTATATTTTTTTTACATAACATAGAATTTACGTAAACTGACCATTGTCCTGACTTCAGGTGCAGTTTTGTCTGCATAATGTTTAGGTGAAACGAGTTTAATCATTTCATTAAGAAACCGAAACTTGCCAATCTCTGAGTGAAAATTAGCATCTCCACGACGCATACAACGATCTAACATGGATAGTGCTAAAATAGCTTCTCGAGCATTTGGTGAATGAATACGGGCAGCCAAGGCTTGAGCGGCATATTGTGGACCTTCTGCAGACTCTCGCATTATAGTATAGAAAGCTTCCAAAGCAGCAACATCAGGTTGTGGTAGAGATTCATGAGTTGCTTTTACTGCGAAAAAGACTTTATTGAACCTCATTTACATATTTTTTTAAATAATAATAAAAGTGTCACTTACAGATTAATGCTTCCAAGCTTGTCAGTGTGATATTCATTTTAAAATAAAGCACTTATACGCGCTTTATAATTCTTTATTTTCATTCGTTTTCAATGTATTTGCTATTGCTAAATGTCATCATTTTGCCGTCCAATCATTATTGACATTTTATTTTAATATCTTGACTTGTTTATGAATTGAAACAGATTCAATATTATATATGCATCTTTTTGTCATACACAGGTTTCTTTTGGAGGTAAATATAATAAGATTTTTTATAATATGAAGGTTAATGTAAATTTCACTATATTTTGGTAATATCGCTTTTTTAATGAAAATACCAAAAATTCACAATTAAGAAAATAGGAGCCTATGTTTGAAGCGTTTTTTGTATCTATACTTGTAAAATTCAGGATAAAATATTTTTAATTCCAGTATTTATTGATTATTTAAAACAAACCTAAGTATATTTTGGTTTCTATAATCTATGGGCAATCGTCAAAATAAACTGTCAAAAAGTATATGACAATTTGTATACTAATCCTATGGACTGTCGTATCCCCTAACGTCTAACACAGGAATAACTTGAATCTCAGTTGCTAAAAATAATTTTGTTCATTTTTGCATAGATTTTACTCAAAATGACTTTTTCTAGGCTAACCAGGCTTATGGTTCAGTCGAAAAACATCACTAAACATGATAAGAAGATCCAACGAAGAACGGCAACTACCACTCCTACGGGGGCAATTTTACCTGAACCCGAGAAAACTCCTTTCGGTCTTCTGAGTATTGTGGCTGCTGTTATTCCAGGCCTGCTGATCGGAGCGGCCATAAGCAAAAGTATCGCTAATTTCTTAGAAGAAAACGAACTCTTCGTGCCTTCTGACGACGATGACGATGATGACTAAATGTTAAAGATTTATAAAACGGCAAGTAGTTTCATTAACAAAACATTAAATATAACTTGAAGGATCTTTGCGGGTATAATAATAAAAAACCTTTAATTTTATTAATAATAATTTATAGTTACAGAAACACATTGTAATGATTTTGTGCTTATATTCTATATTATTTTTAAAAGCATACTTAAAATATTGTTATCGAAATTAATACAATTTTAGTGGTTATGGAGGTTTGTCTAAGTCATAAATTATTTACAATGTAGTGATAGGCATAATTTTATACATATAATATATCTATATACATTTTAAGTTATTACAACTAATGAAAAATTTTCAATAGTAACATGTATGAATTATGCAATCCCTGCTATGCTAGTCAAAGGATAATGTAAAAGAAAACAGAATTTAAAGAAATCTCAATAGACTTGTGCATAAATATAAGAAATTTGTGAATAAATATATCAGTAATGGCATGACTCAGTCTTTTATTTACGTTCTCATAATGGGAAGATTTCAATGTTGAATATAACATTAATATTCACTTAAACAAATTTCATTAATACTTTAGAGTTTAAATCAATACTAGATTATTAAAATTTTGCTTAATACTTAAATTTCCATATAATGACTGAAAATGAGAAAATAAAAGACCTATATTTTATAGGAAATAAGAAGAAAATGCTCTTACTTTCTTTAAGAGTTACATAATCTTGTTGAACAATCTTTAAAACATATTTACTAATACTCTTTAAGGTAAACAATAGTGTAGTAATAATTTATATTTTTGATATCTAAGATTTTCATGTGTATTCATTTAAATAAAAGTAAGATTTAAGAATACTATGTGTTTATTATTATTTTTAAAACTACTACAAAAGAACCGGAAATATTGGAAGTATGTAGTTTTTAAAATAATAAAATACACTTAGTATCCGAAAATGTTAGTTTTATTTAAATGAATCGTCATAAAAATCGTAATTATCATTAATTTATATTTTTATACAGATAATACAAAGAAAACTATATGTATAATTATTTCACAGTATTTTTCTTAATTATGTTACTGAGTTAATTATGGCGTGGTTTATAATTTATATAGTATACTCTATCTAGTTTATTCGGGAGGTTTCTTGTGTTCCCCCCAGCCGTGGAAGCATTTGGTAAATCTCCGAGACTCCTTGTCCTTCAATGTGAGGAACAGTTTTCGAGGTCTGTCTGGTTGCGTTGTCTTCATATGTTGAATGTATACCTGTCATAATTTCTATATGTAATTGGGAACTTTAAGAAGTAGTTTTTATGAAGAAAACGACTTTTCTTTCATGTTGAAAAGAAAAACCGATCAAAATTTTCACTATATATTAAACTACCTTTGGTTGGTGTTATTTGATAAATTAAACAATTTTGTTTTTTAACTAACTTAATATGCAGCGGTCATTAAAAAATGTTTGTAACTTAAATATCAAAATCTTCATAATAAACATATAAATCTCTTCTTGATAATGACTAAGTATCTGAGATACAAAACATACATAACGTTATTGTAATTGGCAATTATTAAAGGTTCATTGTCTCTTTCTTACCTGAGCTGATTTATAAGCCAGTTTAATTTCAACCTCTGAACATCTAGCACCGAGCCACAGGAACACTTGCTCACCATTATCCAATATCATAATGTCATCATCAGCGAGATCATCCTTAAAAGAATTTGTATAATATACATTATATAGATGTGAATGGATATACTATGAGTGACTTTCGACAAACATTTTCATTGTGGATTTTACTACTGAGACTAAAATATATACATATATCCTATATGTATATCGATACCTCCCACGTAAGTTGTTGTATCTCCAAAAATATAATTTTACAGTAGTGTTTCAAAGATTTATATTAAAATTTGCATTTATTGATGAATCTTTTTAAAATTTCGTATTTAAATTTAACATACCTAATAGTCTTCTCAACTACGTTAAAAGATATTTTAATTAATATGCCTATTTACGGAGATATTGTTGTTATATTGTTCATACGACATTTTACTCCGGAGTAGAAGGTAAAAAACGTGTTGTATCTGATACTTACAACATTATACCGCGGCGCTCAGGCAGCATCAGGTATATGATAGTTACAACTGTATACGTTGGAAAACATAAGTCTAACTCTGTTGTATGTAACCAATACGTGGGCGCGTGATTTTACCCACCTCGCGCCCCGCGTAAACAACTGTATAGGCATATACAACAGTGTAATCCGTTCGCGTTTGAAAATTACAATATTATACGTCTAACAAATCCTTCAAAAAGTGTTTCTGTTGTTTTTTTACTTGGAATGGATGTATGTAATGATCCATTATAGGATATTTGTCAGAATAAAAGCAAAATAGCATTTTTGTGTCATACAACAACTTACGTAGGAGGTACCGATATGTGTGTGTCTGTTAGATAAATTCTAATCAAATAGCATATTTGGGAATGTTTTTTGAGCCAAAACACGTAGTATACAATATTTATTTACTTGACAGAAATCCGTCCACTTCTCAGAGACAGTGAAGTATCCCTTTTCGTTGGAACATCTGAACAGTCGCGTGTAGTTTAAGTATTCTGCATCTTCGTCGTAAGGCTTTCGCCCGCCCAGCGCCACCCAAAAGAAATTGTCAGGTTCACTGCCCTCTGTTAACACCTGGAATAATGGAAGCATTAATATAAACATATTCTAAGTATAATTAATTAATCATATATGGTAAATACAGTTTGCTAAACTATTTTAAAGATCCACTTCTATGATATTTTCAAAGGATTCATAATCCTCTTTGTTAGGGATCTCCTTCGTTAGACGTTTTTTATCATGATACATACCTGTAGACTGACGAAGTCGTTGTTAAATTTCTCATTGGCGATGAGTTCTATGAGACGGGCGGAGTCAGCGTCGCTCTTAGAGCCGATCCAGGCGTACACGATCGCTGATGACTCTTCCTTAGAACCCTCCAAAGGCACGTTCAGGATATAACTGATAGGAAATTAGAATTATTGATACATTACAAGGACTTATAGCTTTCGAAAATTCCGAATATCTACATTGGAAGCAGATTATCAGTAGAAAGTTTAAGCTGAAATATTTTCAAAATTATCAAGTTTTAAGGTAATTTTTTCACAATTAATAATAAATTAAACACATTAATTGTGGGAAAATTATTTTAAAAGCCTTAATTTTTAAAATATTTCAGCTCAAACTTTCTTCTAAAAATCTGCTTCTAATGTAGATACGCGGAATTATCCAATGCTAGTTAGGCGGATTTGCATATCCCCGACGATATGTCAAAAAGCGGTAATTGTTGTCAAGTTATTGAAGGGTAAGTACAACTGGTGTTATATAGAGGCAATGTCTTCTTACCAGAAGGCACTGTTCAGCATACTGGCGTCTGGTTTTACTTGTACAAGTCTCGTACATAACGAGGAGCCGTTACTTCTGAGCTCGAACAACTCCACTGGAGGCCGGCCCTCCTGTCACAGAAGTTCATTTCAAACATTTATTATATTCAAGGATAAGTAAAACATGTACTTGTACAAGCTAGCTTATGATGTCAGAAAGAAAATTGCTATCATCACTGCTTAGAAATAATGTTCCTTATTATAATTTTTACCAATCCCTACTAATATTATAAATGCGAAAGTAACTGTCTGTCTGTCTGTCTGTTACGCTTTCACGCCTAAACCACTGAACTGATTTTAATGACATTAGGTACAGAGATAGAGTTGACATTGAGAAAGAACATAGGATAGTTTTTATCCCAGACTTTTGAAAGGTTCTCTTGGAAACGCGATATAACCGAAATCCACGCGGGCGAAGCTGCGGGCGGAAAGCTAGTCAGCATTATATTTGTGTAGGGTCACATTGAGTAGGTGACACATTAAGTTTATATTTTGCCTTTTGCCTTCCGTCTGTAGCTAACTTGTAAATATATATCAAAATAATTTTCTTATATACTCTTATTCGTTCAATAACAATTAAAATTAACGCAAACGTTTTAGATAAAACAATACTATCAGCATTCTTAAATACCATTTTATTTTTAATTGAAATAAAAATCATTTAAAACACTCTAAAACTAGTTAACATTTTATAGAGTATAGAAGAAATTATGTAAATATAAAGTATGTAAGAAATTTATATGTTCTTTCAAGGTTTCTTAATACAAGAACAAAGGTATTGTACCTAGAAATGTGCCCATCGAATGTAGAAAACACTGCCAACTAATATTATAATTACTAACCGGTTTCAAATTCCGTTTTCCATCTCGTATAATGAACCTTCTTCTGAAATGTGCCATGAATTTGAGGCTCTCCTGTTGTTGATGTGTTCTGACTACATCTAGTCTTTTGCAGAGTTGTTTGAATTTCCTTTCAAGGCCGAAGGTGAATGTTAGCCAGCCCATATTAGGTGCTTTTCTTCCTTGCCAGAAATATACTACCCAAGTAACACTGTCGCTTTCTGAATCTACTTCGTCCGCTTCAGGCGAGTCATCATCAGCCTTTTAATATAATAATCATAGTAACTTATTTATATTGATATATCTTATATGACCAAAAATTAATGGATATTAATATTTTTATACAATAAAATGGTATGTATAAATTGCAATTAAATTATTAGTTCATAGGAAACATAAATCGGTTTTTATTCAAATTGGACCATTATTAGATTTTTTTTAATCATTATCCAAGTTTTAAGACATTGCTCTTTTGAATTATGAATTATGATGAGGATTTATGAAAATTTATCACAATTCAACATTTAGGCATAGAAAGGATTACTGACGAAATCGTAAGTCTTGTTTAAAGTGAGTATAATAAATATTAGTAAGGATAAAGTTCTCACCTCTACAGGTAATATGTATCTACAGAGGAACACGTAACAATCACAGCTATAGAAGACGCCCAACTCTTGATCTGGAAGACGAACGAAATGCCGTCCTTCAAGAACAAAAGCCTCCATAGCTTCAAGGTCTTCGTTCCACTCATCAGCCAGACTCTTCGCTTCGGTTGGGGACATGGCGGGTTGACGAGGTGTGAATAAGGCTGATAGATCCGTCCTAGAAACATATGATTTACATATAGTATATATAAGATAGGGAAAAGACTAGAAAAAAGTGCATTAAATAGGTATTGGGACAACTTTCCCAATGATATAAAATCTTTGATAATTTGCTAAACGTGTAAATAACAATTTTCATCTGTCTGTCCGATATCAATTGCTGTAAAGTAATCGAAACGTTAGAGAGTGTGGATTTAAGTTTGAATAATTTTTAAAAGGCAAAAAAATATTAAATATTGTTAAAAATACGATTAATATAGCGATTTAAAGCGACAAAATTTAAGTCTCGCTCGAGCCGTTGCAGGGATTTACGTCTTCGTAGTGAGGTGGTCGTCAAATTAGCTCCGAGGTTACTTTCTATAGCCTCAGGGGGCCGTTCAAGTATTACGTAAGCAGATTTATTACAATTATTAACCCCCCCCCATCCCCCTTGTCAGCAAAAGTAAGCAAAAGCTCTTACCCCCTCCCCCCATGCTTACGTAAACATTTTCAATTACTGTATAAATTTTTTTTAAAATATAAATCCATAAAAAAATTATAATAATATTTTTTTACGGATCTTCTCGATGTGACGATAAAAAGTTAATAACTACCCATGACGTAATCATAATCTAGACTCCCCTACCCCCCATGTCATCCAAAATAAGCAAAGCAAAGCAAAGACCACCCCTCCATAGTGCATTCGTAATACTTGAACGGCCCCCTAGTGCCCAAGGATGACGTCAGTTATGATGACGTCACACTTTTAAATGACAGAGTACCTCTATTCTGACACATATTTTAGTGTTTGGTAGTATGTAGTACTAACTTGGTCTCTTGCTGCCTCGCCCATGACGTGAGGTCTGCGCCGGTCCTCGCGACTGACTCGGCTGTTCGCGTGAAGTCCACCGCTATCACCTCCTCCCAGCCTTGGAAGTACGTCTTGAACACCTTAAATATAATACCAATTAATAAATTAATGATAAAATGTTCAATTTTAACGCGCGTTTGATAAGGGGCCCTTAAACCTACACCTGGGTTGTAGTCCCAGTCACTGTTGAAGCTCCTCTCCCTGCAACGCGATGGACCCGACACCCGCACGGTGAATACATTGAATGCTAAGAGACGAAACGTCTCTAATTCTATTTCCATTTCCATTATAATGATGTTTTTATATTTATATTTGAAACTTTGATTGCATAATCGTTGGTATGATGTTATAACAAAGTTGATATGCTCAAAAAAAAACTTTGTTATCTTAATATACAATTAAATCTGAACGTAAGAGAGTTGGTTGGAAAATTATATTTTTATAATCTATACATACTGATATAAATATAAAAAATGTTGTAAAACGCTGGGATTTTTATATCATAAGTAAAAAGTTGTTATACCTGTTATGGTTAAAAAAATATTTTGATTTTTACATATAATTAATTCTGAACGCGACTTAGTTGATTAGAAAAATATTTTTTTATAATCTATATACAGGGTGACTGGTGAATTACTATCAATATTTAAGGAGCATACTCGGTACATGATTCTCATTCGAATTATGTAAAAAAATAGGCACTTAATTTTTGACAAAATTTCCGTATAAATAAATAAAGTGTTGACACGTTCCAAGTGTTCCAAGTGTGGACGCGTGCGGCGGCGTGCTGATACAACACCACGCCCCGCTCGCGTATGTGTGAGTGTGAGTGTATACCTAATCTGTAGGGTGTTCATACGATGCGTAATTAATTACATAACTTTTGGTTACTTTACTTAGAAGTTTATTAATATTTTATGTTATATTAATTTTTATTTTGTCATATATGATCGTCAAATATCACGTCCTCAAGTATTGATAGTAATTCACCAGTCACCCTGTATATTATAAAACGCTGTTTATTATTATAATAAGTATATATTTATTACCTGTGTTTCCGTTCCCTCCTGTAGCCTAGTGACCAGTGCGTGAGGTTCTCTGGGCGCCATACTGAACAACTCCTGCGCGAGCTTCACGGCCGCCGCTCGAACTAAACGTGATGATTTCTTGCCAAACCTGATATTATTTAAAGATTTTCAATACTGTACTATAATATGTCATCATACATTACATCAATTCTATAAAATAATAAGTAAACGTGTTGTTAATAGATCGATAACTTAATAAAGACTATCATTTACGGTATTAAAGAAGAAAAGGCTATTTGTTAAGCTTCACTGTGATAAAAACACTCATCTAATATTCTGAAGAAATTTAGCAACACCCTTTGAAGCTTATTTGCAACTTTCAACATATTTTATGGTACTAAGTCGTAAATATAAAAAGTTATGTACTTTTTTGATATATGAAAAATCATCACCCTGTATAATTACCATACAAACAGATCCTGGTGCGCGTCTAGTATGTACACATTCCTGGTGGCCAATATCGTTCTTGTAAGAGCTCCTTCAGTCTGAGGCAGTTCCAAGTACCCCATGCCGAGCTCCACGCGGTATAATCTCGCTGGCGACCACGTGAAGTTATCAGGGACATGTTCCTGGTGATCATTTAACATTGATTTAAGATTTAATTGTAATATTATTCATCATCGTCGTCCTATCAGTGCCTATTGCTGAGCAAAGGCCTCTTCTCACATGGAGAAAGGTTAGATTCGAAATTATATGTCCAAGTTTCCGCACGACTTTTTCATTAACCGTCTGTCAGTAGTATCGTAATACTGTAAGAAAGTACATATGACTCGGAAAAATCACATTGGCACTCGTCCGGTTTCGAACCAGAGCCCACAAGTATTTCTAACAACAATTCGTTTGTTGTAGATTTTATTTATTCTTAGTTATTTTAAGTTCAACAGCAGTTAAAGAGTGCCCCAAAAATATTTTAAACTATTTATTTCAATATTTTGATTTTGATAATATTATTATGATAGACTTTTACAAATCTCGTGTTCATGAATTTTAAGTACACCCGTTCTAACGGTTAATCAATATTTTGGTCCAATTTTATTATTAAGTAGCTTTTCGCCCGCAACTTCGCCCATGTGCAGTTCGGTTGTATCGCGTTTCCAAGAGAACCTTTCAAAAGTCTGGGATAAAAACTATCCTATGTTCTTTCTCAAGGTCAACTCTATCTCTGTACCAAAATTCATTAAAATCAGTTCAATGGTTTAGGCGTGAAAGCGTAACAGACAGACAGACAGAGTTACTTTCACATTTATAATATTAGTAGGGATTGCCATTCAATATATTTTCATTTAAAGCAATGACTTACTTCTGCCACGTAAGGCGTATCGTCTTCATATCCCAAGACCTGCCAGAAGTTCTTTGTTTCTTTTCCTGGTACTTCTGCTATTAATTCTGCTTTGTTCTTCCTCTCCTCTTTATTTATCTTCTCAGCGAACAGACGCGCTTTCGACTTTAGCGTATTCTTCGCCTTTTTGCCATTCCTGTTGAAGTTATTGTCGTTAATAAAACGAGATTAAATATTTCCCCAAAAAATAAGTAATATTTGGTGACAATCCAGAACTGAACACCAAAGCAAACATTTCAAAACATTCTTTTATTTTAGAAATGATTAGCTGCGCCTCGCAGTGTTAACCGCGGATTTCCGGGATCTAATGTAGCCTATGTGTTATTCCTGGACGTCAGCTTCCTGTATACAAAATTTAATCAAAATCGGTTCAGCCGTTTGAGCGTGAAGAAGTAACAAACATACACACACACCTACAAACTTATTATAATATTAGTAGGATATACACGAAAAGCTGAAAGCATTTAATCTGTATGTGTTTGAAGAATCGATGACGTCATAAATGCCTACCATAAATGTATGCGTAATCCCGTGTCAAGTACGAAGACGTATCTCGGGTCGAGCGAACTCGCTGACACGGGGGAAGGCTCCAGATGTATGGAACTACCGGCGCCGTGGACACGATAAAGACGGGTCACGTAATGCTGGAATAAATATTAATTAAGAACAATACAGAATTACATATGATAGTATGATATTGAAGAAAAACTTGTAAATAATAATAAACCAGATGTAATAAGTTAGAATACTCGGGCCCCACGATACAAGTCTCCTAGTGTCATCCAAAGATAATCAAAATTTTAAAATTTGCTAAAACCATTGGCACCTCAACCATACATGGAAAACATTGTAATAGTTTAATTTTAAGAAGATAAATTTTAACATTATATATTAATCTATTATTACGTAAGCTTTGTGTTTTTTCATTAAAGTTTATTTATTATTTTTATTAACTAGGTTTAGCTTAAAAACTATCTTTGTGTTTTCACGTAATTCAAATACACGCACACACACACACGCACTCACGCACGCACACACACACGTTATATATATTAACGTTATCTCACCGGATCATCGACAGTAAAGAAGCCCGAGGGTGTTCTACTGCCGTTGATATATACAGGGGGTGTCGGGAACAGCGCGAGGAACTCTGGAGACTCGTCACCTTGCTCGTGTCTCTGGGTGCGTTTGGCTCCCAATAGGTTTCTTAGATTAACCGCGTGCATCGCTGCACACGCGCCCTTGTCCAACTGGAAACAATAAAGTTTGTTTTATATTCAGATATTTATTATTGTCATTATATACCTGTATGTAAATAAATAATGGAAACCTTTATTAAAAAATATAAGAAAACACATTTCAAGACAGCCATAGTGTATTATATATGGACAAAATTTCTCAGTATCCATGATTCACCCTGCGTGTGTCAGGTCCATAGTTACAGGGAGAGGAGCTTCAACAGTGCCTGTGACCTGCGACCCAGGTGTAGGTTTAAGGAGCCCCTATCTAACGCGCGTTAAACGCTCACCTCCGCTGCCCAAGCTCCTCTCTCTATCTAACCAAATTCGAAACGAACCTACTACGGCTGCCTTAGCAGTGCGTTTTGTGAATGAAATGGTATTAGTTCTGGACAGGCCTAAGTCTTTATTAGGTTGTAGACAGATTTAACTATTATACCTCTCGCTAACATTTCAAACACATACAAATTTACGATGACCCTATTCCCACTGAGTTCGTGAGTTCGTAATACTTGATGGTATGGTATTTGGGTATGTTGGTTTCCCAAGCAACCGTAAAATTTATTAACACAACGCAACGTTCTGGAGGCCGAATTACAAATAGTCTATGGGATTTTATATTATTTCGCCTGAGACATATGAATTCATCATAATAGTCCAAGTATCCATGATTAAATAATAAAAATAATAAAAATCATTTAATGACTTGCACCGATTATACATATATCATATTAAATATATCTCACCGTAGCTTTGGATCCAATCCAGAAGTGTATATCCCAAGACAGCTGTCCCTGTTCTTCGATGGACGTCTTCAGTACGATGTAGCAGTCACCCTCGAAGAACTTACCGTGTGCGACCTGGACGTACGGAAATAATAATATAATAAGAAAACAAGACGATAATAATTAAATTCTTACATAGAAATATAAGTAATTTTCTCTTAACATTTCTAAGTTATTGTTATATAACAGATGTGTATATAAGTGGAATATATTTAATATTTTTCGAATTTACTGCTACTTTAACAACTTCTCGTGCGCTCAGAATTACGTTTGCTGCAAAGTAATCCAAACATCGGGAGCGTGTTTTTAAAAATAATTATAAACGCGTACCTAGTAAATCCGAAAAATATTTAGTTTTATTTCAATGAATATTCGCGATAATTTTACATCTAATTATATACATAATATTGCTTTTATGATAAAATATTGCAAGTATGAAAAATAAAGTGAAATATAAATTCTATATACCTAATATTAATCACATTTAGTCATGTCACTTACTTCATCAACTGGTGCGGGAATGAAGTTCTCAATTTCCCATATCTGGAGACCTGGAGCTTGACCAGTGTCTTCGTCGAAGAACTCTGAGTAATCTAACGGTGGTTTTTCCAAACTTTCGTCCCAGCGTTTTGGTCTAATAGAAAATTATATTTATATACATAGTTGCTTTCAAAGTATATACAAAATATCTTTAAATATAAACGAAAATCGTATTAGTTACACTATTTATTTCTCAAGAACAGCTGTACGGGTTTAGCTGAAGATTGGTGGAGATATAGCTTAGAACCAGAAAGAGGACATAGGTTACTCGTTTTACAATTAAAAAAGAAAAAAAAGTTGATTTAGCCCTAAATCTTCTTATCCACTGCCTTTAAAGAGGAATAGAGTTCGCCCAGTCATCTATATATTACAACTGCTGAAACTAACACAGAGAAAATCGCGTCCAAAAACTAGTAATATTATATTCTTAATTTACACGTCTGCCGTCTGCGAGTTTAAGACGCCGAAAACAATTAGAGATGTCATTGAGATATTTGTGACAATGACATTGTTAGAACAGTATTGTTGTGGTTTGTTGTAAAACACTAATTCCTTTAAAGGAACAAACAAGTTGGTTAACCAACTGTAGAATGTGGTATTATGTATTTTATTCTTGTTTTAATGAGAAATTGCTACAAATTATTTACAATGAACATTGTGATCTCGACGGAATAAATAATTTTGAAATTTATTTATTTAATCAACATAATAAAATTAATATTTAATTAAATCTTCTGAAACAATTTAATACTTTATATATTTAGGAAGTTTATTGATAGTTTTATTTCTAGGTACTAAGAAGATATATATCTTCTCAAATTATCCATACATTCGTCGAGTTATAACTAGTTAAACGATTCTACTAGTTATATAAAGTAACACTTCTTTTTAAATAATTATAACATAAATTTTAGCCTTCAATACACTAAAATTACCTCGTCTACTAATGGTTACGTACCTACTTACGTCACGCAAAAGGGACCCTAATTGAAGCCGCTTAAAAACTTAACCTACTTCAATTGATAATTCAAATATATCTAAATTTTGGAGTTATTATACTACTCCAATCCAAATAACTCCATAAAAATTTTAACTTGACCTATTCCAATTATAATATTCCATAGTAATCACTAACTTTAGTTCGCTGTGTGGCATTTCATCGTTATTGGCTGCATGTTGAGTGTTAGCTTGTTCCTGCATTCCTCGAAGTATAACATCGGAGTTATCAGCCTCACCGCGACGACGAAGACGAAGCTTACGAGCTATGGGGTCCGACTTACTGATACCTGAATAACATGTACAACATGTATAAAATAGATCACATATGACTTCAAAAAGTATTCAAAATTAATTGGAAAATACTTATTGTAAATGTTATCATCAACAAATGTCAATATTATTTAGTAGTAATATAAGTAGCTCGAAAGATATTTCAAATTATTGTTGTATAACTGATGGGCATGGTGTCTTAATATATGCACTATCTGCTTAAAAGGATATGCGCTCATATTGTATATAAACATAAATTGAAACAATAAACTATTACTATATATCTCCCTAACAATAGGAGCAAATATTCCAGTCACAAAGGTCAATGACCAAGTGTTTCTGGCGTGTGAAAAAGTCAGTCAGTCAACTCATTATCAGATTCCAAAAACTTCTGTACTATTCGACAGGTATTCATTATTATCATAAGTATTTATTATATACTAACTATTGTTGTCTGCTAGTTCAGGAGTTGCCGCACCAGCCAATTGTAACTGTGTTTGTAGAGAGAAGTCTATATTATAATATTGGAGACCAGCTCCTCTCGCTCTCTCTACTGGCTTTGGTGGCATCACCAAATCCGGGTTGCCATGTAATTGCAAACTCTCTAGGTCACTCAATAAATGTATTGCATCTGGCAATGTTATTAACTTGTTCGAACTAAGGTTTAACTTCTTCAGTGAACCGCATCTGTGGAGGAATTAGAAGAAGAAGAAGAAATATACTTTATGGCACTCAAAAACATAGGAATTAACATTAAATATAAATACAGAAAATTTAAGGCAAGGGCGGCCTTATCACTAAAAGCAATTTCTTCCAGGCAACCCAACCGATGAGGATCACAAATATTCTAGAGAGGGTAGTGCATATTATGACATATACACTACCCTCTCTAGAATATTGTTAGTTCTTAATTTATTGCAATGGCTGCATATTTTTATAGTTAAATGAAACTAATATTTTCCAGAAAACACATTACACACCACATAAAAAACTACATACTCACGATGATTTGGTTACTTTACAGCAACCATGATCACAGACAGACGAGATGTGATAGACATCATTATACGAAATATATTAGTTTCATTTCAATGAATACTTGCGAAAGTCTTAGATCTTATTTTTAAAGTTGTTGCCATTACCTGCAAAGTCCCTCGGGAATCATTTCAAGTAGATTATTAGCGGCTGAGAATACTTCTAAATTGCCCAGTTTTCCTATTCCAGAAGGAATTCCTTCAAAGTCCAGCTTGTTGTCATCTACATGAAGCCGCCTTAAACTCTGTAGCTTGCACAGAGTGGCTGGTAAACTTGTAAGTTTGTTCCGGGATAAATTTAAACTTTCCAGTTTCTGCCAGATGTCCATAGCTGGAATGAAATGTTGTTCATAATCTTATTTGAACATGTGGGCTATGTTGATATGAAATAACAAAAATTATGTTTTTTTTTTAAAAAAAAGTTACTTAGGCATACTATTAAAGGAAATTATATATAATTAACATTGCAAATTCTTAAATAAAGTCATAAAACAAAATATATATTAAATACAACAGTCCAATAGTCCATAAGTTTTTTCAATACGTTTTGTAGGACTTGAAATTCAAAAATATTCTGTTTACATTTACAATTGTCTTAGATTTAAATGTATAACTTGTTTATCATCTTTAGATACATACCAGTAGATATTTCTGTGATCTCATTTTCACTTAGATTAAGTCTTTTTATATTTTGCAATGTGTAAAGTGCATCAGGCACTTTTGTCAGGGCGTTTTTGGACAAGTCAACATCAGATAAATTTTGGAGAGGTTCGAGTGATGTCGGTAGATTTGCTAGTGTTCTCTGTGTGTTCCTCATGTGTAATGTCTCTAGACTTTGTAGAGACGGTAACTGTCTGTGAAAGAAATAGTTTTATAATTACTCGGTACATAAATTTCATACATGAAAAAATCACTGTAGATAATTCACTGAATAATTACAGACACAAACAAGATGACCAAGAATTAATGTCATGTAAAATATAAATACATACATTATTTCTACTTCATATCTATATTGCTTTAAATTCAAAACAAATTATTAATAATTTAAGATAAAATTATGCTTTTTTTCCTGTTATTATTATGTAAAATTAATAAATAAAAATTTAATACTACAGAATATTATCAATAAGTTATAAGTTATAAGTACTTCAGCTAGTGTGTTTTGATATAATTCAAATAACAAACTCACCTCAATTGAAATAATCCTAATGGGTTATCATTTAGTATTAAAGTCTGAAGGTTTGCCAACCTTCTAGTCTGAGGGGGCAGAGTCTCCAGTAAATTACTAGATAGGTCTAAAAACAGTAGATCCGTCAACTGAACAAATAAAGTGGGTGGTATGCTTTCTATCCTGAAATAAAAAAAATATAAGCTATCAATTCTTACAGTAATATTGATTAATAACAAAAGTTACTTAGATTATTATAAGTGAAATGATTTCAGTTAATGTCTTCATATTAAAATTAGAAATAACAGGCCTAGTTTGTGTTTACTAACTTGTTGTGACTCAGATTTAACACAAGCAGTGATTTAGCTTTTTCTAGCCCTTCAGGAACTTCCTTTAGCCTATTATGAGAAAGATCTAGAGTAGTTAGATCATCTAATCTGAATAGTTCAGCAGGTATTCCTGATGTCTTCACATTGTTATGCCTAACATTCAAAGATCTTAGACACTTTAACTCTGTCAATTCTCCAAATAACTTTTCTAGATTATTCTTTTTGAGTGACAAATTTTCCTAAAAACAGATAAAGATGTTGTAAACAATGTAATGATGTATAACAAATGAAAACATTCAAAATATATTATACCAATTTCATAAGTTTTCCCAATTCTTCGGGAATCTCTTCTAAGTTTGTTTTATCGAGTCTGAGCCATTGCAAACCGGTCATATATCGGATAGCATCGGGGAATTTGTCACCCTGTAATTAGAGTAACATTTAGGCCACATAATACGGAGGTTAACGATGATATCATTGTAGTGGCAAAAAAAAACATATATCGTCCAACTTACACTGAAGTCATTGCTAGTAAAATCCACACCACGCACAAATGGTAACAAGCCTGTATTTGCCATTTTACTAATAATTTACAAAATTTTAAAAATCGGTTTTGTCTACCCTCCATGAAATACTTTGGAATAATGATGCTGTCATTGTCAACGTCAATATTTATAAACACTTGACATTTTGCGTATGTTTTAGATCTCATTCAGGTTAGCGAATGTTAAAAATTATTCTTTTGTTAAAATATTTCAAACCATAAAAGGAAATATAGTTTTATTTTATTAGTAGTACTTATGTATATAAACTTTCAAAAAACTATTTCAGTATTATTTCCATTCTCCTCTAAAATATACTTACTATTCATCAGTCGTTGTTAGTGTAGTTTTTCAATATCCAATTTTTTTTAATAATATTTATACATATATGTATATGTTATTGATTGTATATATTTATCATGTACATATAAAGATACTAAGTGAAAGTAAAGGCGCCTTGTATTTAATATCAGTTTTAATTAAAAAGCAGGAGTATAAATAAAAATGGTAAAAAAACATTTTAAAAAGATTTATTTCTTCTATTACATGTTTAACAAAAATTATATCTACAACTCAAAATATACTCCAATCTATTGCCATTCAAACAAAGAAAGCCTTTTTATACCAAAAACTTTTTTTGTCACATCTAACCTACTACTGACAAACAATTGAAAATGCATACAGATTCGTGTTTGGTACAGCTGCCAAATCTCATCGATTCGAGTCAATGTACCTATTTGAATTAAACTATTATTAAATCATATGTGGATACATAAAGAATATTCATTCACATGTTACATACTGATAACACACATGAGTGTTCTAAATTATTTTATTTGGTACATATTCTATATTTATCGAGGCATAGGCGGCAATCCTGGCGTAGGTCCGGACATAGCAGTGTTAGTACCCAGCAGTACCTAAAACAAATTAACAAGACAAATAGACAATTGTTACATATTTATACAAACTCCGAGTTAATAAATTCAAATAAAATCATAGTACAAAAGTATATTTTGGTTAATTTTATAATACTTTTTAGTTATACCTGTTTCTGTTGTGACTTTTGCATTTCCTCAACCTGTGCTCTCTCAACTTCGAATATGACTGGGGCGAAAAGGATGACTGACGAGCTAGCCACCACCCACATGACAGAGCGAGATAGCTGGTATAGACTCTTTACTCCACTCCTGAAACCGACAAATAGTAAAATATTTCATCTTTATTATAATAATTGATCAAAGACAATAGTACAAGTAAGATCGGGGATGTCACAAGTGTCGCTACATGCCACTCATGATTCGGGTTATTGCAGCCTCTAGAATCTTTATTATCTTCTTTGTTTAAATATGTTAATGAGCAAATACTGGTAATAATGATGGTATTATTATTACCAGTGTTTTTGTAAATATTTTGAGAACCACCAATGTATCTATACTAATATTATAAAGCCGAAGAGTTTGTTTGTTTGTTTGTTTGTTTGAAAGCGCTAATCTCGAAAACTACTGTTTCTAATTGAATAATTCTTTTTGTGTTGGATAGTCCAGTTATCGAGGAAGGCTTTAGGCTATATAACATCAGGCTACAACCAATAGGCGCAAAGATATAGTGGTAAATGTGTAAAAAACGGGAGAAATTATTTCATCTTTGAAGCCTTCCGTTGCGTGCGCCGTGAAAACGGTTCAAGATACACAAAAAATATGTACTAAAGAATAATAGCTCTTTTAATGATCTAAAAAACACTCCGCGACAGTATCTGTCTATCTTTTAAGATTAACTCACAAAAACCGTTTTTATGGTACCTAATTTGGTTGAAATAATTTGTTAAAGTTGTATCAACATAATAATATTAATCTTTATTAAAATAAACAAATAAATATGTTGTTGGTTAAGAGTACTTCATTGTGAATAAAATAAAACATAGGTTTTATCCTGAAAATTCTACGGGAACTCGACCATTCCGAAAACCCCACAAGAACGGGAACTATGTGGGAAGAACCAAAAATCTGCCGTAAGTCACTATTCCACGCGGACGGAGTCGCGGCAAACGCTAGTTAAGTTATATTTATCAGCCCTGGGTGTCATCAAGTTTGGACATCCCTGAGTTATATAGTAATTTTGTTACTAGAATATTGAAGCTGTCCAAAACTAGTTATTGACAAAGACAAAAACAAATTTATTGTATTTTGTTTTTTTGTTTAAAAACACAAGTACATTTGAAGCATTTAGAGCATAAAGGTGATGTAATCAAGTTACATCAATTTCAAAATGCTTCTGTTAAACTTGTGTTTACTTAGTCTGATACTATAATTAATAGGAAATATAATAAATAGGAAAATATATTTTGCTTGAGACCACAAAAAGTATTTAAACTTAAATTGTATCACAAGTCAAAATTATAATGATAATAATTATGTTTTCCTTGTTTATCAAGTTCATGTACATTTTTTATTTAGTAAATAATTATATATATTGCATGTACAAGTATAAATAATGGTTGTTTTAAATGTGGCCTTCATCGGTGCAAAGACATGCAGAGTATATTATGCCAGTGTTGTGTAGAAAGTAAAAATAATACTGGTATAAAATTTACAAACAACAAAAAGAAAAAATATGAACAAACCAAGTTTTGGTAGTAGCTGTGTATGTGCCATTGCGGACACATTCAGGGAACATTTCAGTCAGTCCCCATAACCTTTCTGATAAGGTTTCGTCTGGCTCCTAAAACATTTGTAATATATTACTTTACAACCCAAACGGCACGGATATATTTATTTTAAATCATCTTCACATACATCGTCGTACTCTTTGAGAGTAATGTATGGCGGAGTACCAGCAGTTGGTGAAGTTCCCACCTGAAAAATAACTATGTTTTATATATTGTCACTAAAAGCACCATTTTTGTTCCTCTCATAAAACGAACCTGTACAGGTACAGGTGTTATAAAGGAAATTTCCTCAGGCCTACGTTCTGGTGTATCGTCTTTGCTCGCGGTTAAGGACTCCATTCCACTATCACTTTGGTCCGCGTCGGATAAATCCATAAGCATGTTACGGAATCAATATATTTAAAAATGTGAAGAAAATCTGCGTTTCTATTTTACCACAAATCAACCTCGTGCGATAATGATATAGGACAATCAGTACCGACGAGAAATGAAAATCCTTTCATTCCCAAATCCGAAAATTTTACAGATTACACCATATTTTCCATAGATAAAATTACAGAATAAAAACAATACTTGCCGTCGTTAAAAACTAATATTCAAATTTATACACCAAAATATAATAAGTTACTTTAAATACTATTGTAATCATTGCATTATATTAATTGATTAATATAATTAGTTAACATTAAAAGATAAAATTTTAATCATTAATAGAAATGTATGATATATTTATAACTACCTATTCCTCAACTAATATATTAAATTACATAATATTTTAACGTACTTGGCATTCATCTGGTGAGGTACAGCCGCAGTGGTTTTCTAAAGACATTTTTTTAATTGCGCATTATAAATAATACATTTAAATGAATTGAAGGGCAAAAAAACCTTATAATGATATTTATGACATATTGTAATTTTCTTTCTTTACAATATGTTTTATTTTATTTAAAGAAGGTTTAATAAAATAATTCTTTTTCAATTATCTTATTTTATTTCTTTAGGTTTGAATATTTTTCATGATTTACTATAGATATATACCTATTATACATTAATATTCATTTGTTTTAAAAATAATATTTTGATAATATTTATTTTTTATAAAAATTACCATCCATGTTTTGTTTCTCTGTGCAATTAAACTTCCGGTTTAAAAGTCATTGAAATTTTGACAGTAGATATTTTCATAAATTGACATCTGGTTGTCTAAAATTATTTTTCTGGAACAGTTTCTAGATTCGTGGAATTATAATAACTTTAATTTAGAATATAACAAATTAATTTATTAACGTACAAAATTATATTTAAAATCCAATCGTACTAATATATTGTGCTGGCTTATATTCAAATACAAATTTTAATTGACATGTAAAATAGTGAAGTGCTACGTTATTTTTTTTAATGAATGGTTGCTCTCTCCAATCTACCATAACGAAGTTTGTGTTACGTTTTCTAAAGTCACAAGAATTTAACAAGAACTAAAGGTGAGTTAAAGTTTTTTATTAAATATTTTTTACCTGATATGAATTTTGCATTACATTACTTATTATAGTTATCAACAATGTTAATTGTCAAAGTAAATAAAGATACATATATTCTTGTACCTATTATTGAAATAAAAAAGTTTTTTTTATTAAGATAATATTGAATATAACTCATTGAGAGTGCTTAAATTCTTGTTAGCATACAAGTTATCCTTGAATAATAACTTCTTGTTCTAAGATATATATATTAAGATCGATTTTCAATAGCCAATAATATAATAAAACTTAATTATTATCATGTTATAATATGTAAACATATATATGTATATATATATGTTTGTATATTGTTTCTTGTAGTATATATGATTCATTGGTCCATATCAGACTCTTTGTCTACATTTAATGACATTTAGCTTGTAGATAAATGGGATCAAACAATATACATTGTCTTAGTTCAAGGTTCTTTGTCGGGTGTTTGAATATTCTATTTGCAACTTTATATTGAGTAAAGAATATGTTTTGTATGTTGCTAATATGTGTTTAATAATTGTTTGTATTCTAAGTAATATCTGTTTTATATTTGAGTTGAAATCAACTGTATAGTGTAAAATAACAAAATTGTTCAGCATTTATTTCTTTTAAAGACATTATTTGTTAATGGCAATGTTTTTCACATAACAGAATTATGCGTTTTTAAATTTGGTATTTGGTAATAAACAGTATAGTAGAAAATTACAATATTGTCTAGTATTTTTTAAGACATTTTTTGGCAATGGCAATGTTTTTCATATTACACAATGATGCCTTATTTTATTTCATACATTTATGTAATTGGTACATGCTTTATATGAATAAAGGTCCCAATTCATAAGTGAAGAAGTTCAATAGGCATATTTTATGAAAGAGACTGGTTTGTCTTATTAACAACTAGCTTGTTGCCCGCAGCTTCGCCCGCGTGGAGTTCGGTTATATCGCGTTTTCAAGAGAAACTTCCAAAAGTCTGGGATAAAAACTATCATATGTTCTTTCTCAATGTCAACTCTATATCTGTACCAAATTTCATTAAAATCAATTCAGTGGTTTAGGCGTGAAAGCGTAACAGACAGACAGACAGAGTTACTTTTGTATTTATAATATTAGCAGGGATAAGTGTATTACTATATGAGCAAATCTAACAAAACATGACCTCATTAAGTATAATCCTAAACTTTATCTCTTATAACATGACATGAGGCTTCATTGACTTCTAAAAATTATTGTCTGCATGTGGGATTCATTCTAAGTGGATAATAGTTTACTGTAAGCCTTTTAGTATTTAAGCGCTCACTAATCTTATGCAAGTCGGAATTGTTAAGAAGATATTTCAAACAGAAATATATAAGTATTCCCATATTTTTTATTATGATATTTTATGAATTAAAAGAGGTATGTTATATTCGTACTTATATTTTCTTAGGTGGTCAAAACTCTGAAGTATTAAGTGTAATATGAAGATTTTTAGTTCCTTATGAGTATTCAGTTTTATTGGATTTAAATATCATTAACTTTAGTATTACATAGAAGAAACAGTACATAAAAAAAACAATAGTTGAATTGTTGTTTATGAAATCAGTTAAGTAAATATAGCTAACACAAAGTATTATTTGGTACATTATATATTGTTATTAAAAAACCATGTGATTTATTCGTAAAGTTCACAATCAAATATGCATTATGTGATGATTTAATGTTTTTTCCTTAGTATGAATATATTTTACATTATTGTATGTTGTCATGTAATAGAATCACATGGTTATTTATCATCGAGTCATGTGCTCGGCTAATGGATTCAGTGATTCAGTATATATCTATAACCTTTAACCATCATATAAATATCTGATTTCAACCCGATTGGGTCTATGTCGGCTAGTTCATACTGCTCCTGACAAATAATGAGTTGTCATGATATATGATTTATTGAGAAACATATTCATGCAATTTTAGACTTTATCTTATGCACCGCTAGGATGTTTTTTGTTTACAATATACATATATATTTCCTTACATAACCCTCTTTTGGACTTTCCACCATATTAATGGTGTAATATTGGTAAAAACATTAATGTATATTGACCAATCAAGAAAAAGAGATTAAATATCATCAAATGGGATGTAATTTTAAGTGGCATAATGCCAAAGTTCATACATTCCTGGGCATTGTGCTGTACATATGGTTTTAATTTCAGAAAGTTGTGTGTGTTTTTTAATCATTCACAAGTTTGTCGACTAAGGTTAAGTTCAGGGTTAAATTCAAATCAACAACGCTTCATGCTTGTCATTGTTATTTATTTCTTTATCGGTGATTTGTTTTTTTTGTTCATTTCCTTATGACCTCACAAAGAGGAAGGAGTTCTTTGTAATGCCCTTGTCGTGATGTGTCTTCGTTGTCATTTATCACAATCATGAAGCTGTCCGGACTGAACCAAATGTTATTGGTTTGAACTAATTAGAGAAATGTTTAAAATTGATGCTTCATTAGTGAAACATTTATTTAAGATATTTGGTGTTTAGAGACAAAATTGTTTTCGTATCATCTTGGCTAATTAGTAATTAGTTAAATTAAATTTTATTAAATAAAAAAACTACATATTTGTTAGTTGTATATAATTAAATGATAATAGCAGTACTATACTATATAAGTACTCAGTCAAGTAATGTTAGCCAAAATACCTTACATGATTTTGGAAATGAGTTGTAACTCTTATTCTCCTTGGTCAATATTAATCCAATATCGGTATCTAAGGGTCACCGTAAGGATACTGACCTTTAAATGACAAAAAAAATAAACATAGAAATTCGTCGATCCTTTTCAGGACTACGGACGTCACACACAGATACATATATATGTATATATGTATATACACACACACACAGGCGTCGATGTTGACGTCAAACTTATAACAGATCCATTTTCCCTTCGGGGGTTGAAAATGAAGACATTTGCAAAACTATATTTAAAGAAACATAAGTTTAAACTTAAATTTTTAATATTTCAGATATTTAATAGATAGAAATATCATTATTAAAACTGATATGTATATCTGTTAAATATGTAACAGTTATTTTTGGCATCGAGAACTTAGCAACTAATTTATTATGTCTATAGACGCAACAATCAACGTCGTCTTCCTTCATGCATCATGCGTCTGCAATGGTTTTAAATGTCGTATACAGGGTGACTGGTGAATTACTATCGATACTTGAGGACGTGATATTTGACGATCATATATGACAAAATAAAAATTAATATAACATAAATATTAATAAACTTCTAAGTAAAGTTAACCAAAAGTTATGTAATTAATTACGCATCGTGTGAACACCCTACAGATTAGGTATACACACACACACACACATACGCGTGCGCGGCGTGGTGTTTTATCAGCACGCCGCCGCACGCGTCCACACTCGGAACACTTGGAACGTGTCAACACTTTATTTATTTATACGGAAATTTTGTCAAAAATTAAGTGCCTATTTTTTTTACATAATTCGAATGAGAATCATGTACCGAGTATTCTCCTTAAATATTGATAGTAATTCACCAGTCACCCTGTATATTTAAGTAAAATTAATATAGATATTTCATTTTATTCCGACAAAAGAAATGTATGTATTGTGTTTGTTTCTGTCAACCCATTCCATATTGATACTTTTTTTTTGTTTTATAACTTTTAATATGATCTGGATAGCCCTTATTCCATATAATGATAGCTCGAAATTAAGCTGACTTTGGTAAATGCATTATCAGCAATAAGCATTCACTTTTACCTTGTAAACGACCTTCAAACGATGTCGCGTTTGTATCGTTTAAGTCAATGTAACTTAAAAATTTTGCTATATTGACGGCGAGTATTT